GATATGGGAGGGATTAGTGTGAGAGAAGGAGAGGAAAGCTTAGAGAATTTACCATCTCTAGAAACTCTGGGACCTTATCATGAGCATAGCAGGTTCACCACTTAATGGTTTTATCTAAGTTTCAGTTGTCTCATCTGCAGAGTGAGGACAGCAATCTCTATCTCATAGTGTTGTAAGAATGAAATTAGAGAATGAGTGTAAAGTATTGTACTCCATACAATGACTGGCATATTGTAAATGAATGGCACCTATATATTTTTTTAATCCTCATCTGAGGACATGCTTACAGAGAAGAAGAAAGGCAGGGAGGGAGGGGGGGGGGAGAGAGAGAGAAAGAGAGAGAGAGAGAGAGAGAGAGAGAGAGTAACATCGATAGGTTGCCTTCCATATGTGCCCCTACTGAGGATCAAACCCAAAACTCAGGACTGTGCCCTGACCGGAATTAAACTGGCAACTTTTTGGTATATAGGCTGATGCTCAACTAACTGAGCCACTCCACTCCAGCTGGCACCTATTATTATTAATACTACTATTATTATTATATTTTATTTTAATGGTGTTCTCTTGTCCTACTAAAGAGGGCATAAGAGCCCCTCAGTGGAAACTATGACTCTGGCTAAAAAGAACAATAAAGATTATATAGATTTGTTACCTTTAAAAGAGACTAATTTATAGAGTATATATTCAATTATGGCTGAATTTTGGAATAAACTCTTTTTATCCATGGGCTCTTTCCCTTCTTCCTGGCAAAATTATACTCTAAGCATTTTCATTTGCTCACCAAATTACTCATTAGCAATGACCTATTTAATTAATAGAATCAGTAAAATGGTATTACAATCCAGCTTAATTTAGTAGCTTGCAGCAATATTTTGGGGGCCTGTCATTCTCTTTTATTGTTCCTTCAGGTAAGTCAGCTTTAAAGTGAAAGACAAAAAAGGTATTTTTAATCTCTGGGTTTTTTTGTTGCTGTTTGTTTGTTTTTTAAACAGGTGGTTCTCAAACATGTGCATCAGCATCAGTTAGAGGGCTTTTTGAAACACAAGACGCTGGATCCCACCCCCAGAGACTTCCAGGCTGCAGTTGAGAGCACCTGTTTCAAGTCAAGGCTGATTTTTCTGCACTTTCAGCTGTCGTAGCAATGGGGCTGAAAGATCTCTTCTTGGCTTAATGAACTCTGTAGATTTTTTTAGTTGGCTAAGCAGTAGTTTATAGCCACTTTATGTTAAGAACCTTTTTTCAGGTCTGCAAAGTGTCCAGTACTGCAATTTGTCTTCCACCGCAGTCCTCATAGGGACGTGTTCCTGAAAGAACTGTGTGTGCGTACACTGGAAGAGCTCTTGTGCTTGGGGTTGTGCTTTGAGAGACAGGAAGACATGACCTGTTACCATGCCATAGTGCTCTGACTTCCGTATCTGTCTGAAGAAGCAGGCACTGGGGATTGTAGATGGCATTGAAGAAGGGGGTGGGCTAGGGGTTAGCAAGAAGCACAGGTGCCTGGGTAAGATCCCTGTCACCATGAGGTTATTGAGGCAGTGGGTCCCCATGAGTTGTGTAGGAGACAAAAGGAGCTCTATCATACAACTGCTGTAAGACTTTGAGTCATTATGAGCAACTTGCGTATAATGGAACTACTGTATATTAAACGGCATTCCATACCCGCTTCTGTAGAATGCTGCCTCAGGGGCCAGTGGTGACCTTCCTATCTTAACCAATGTACAGCCTGCTAAACCTTGCTTCACTGGCAGTGGCCACGGAAAGTTTGCAAGGCAACTGGGATAGGAGTGTGAGATGGTGAGGAGGCCAAAACTGTGCTGGAATGAGACAGGAGGGTGGCCCTTGAGTCCCATCAGGAGGTAGGAAGGAGGAGCATTGGTTTGTGGACATAAGTATCCTAGAGATTGGTAGTAATCTCTAGGGAAGGGGAATCTCACTTCCTTATGCTCTGACAGGTGAGGTCTCAGCGTCATTGTATTTCAGGGTGTTAGAGTGAGGCATTTTTTGCTCATCTGTACTCCCAGGTTGATGAAAACTGCAATACAGCAGTTGCGAAACACTGAACCCTGAATCAGGGCAAGAGCTCTGGTCTGGTAAGTTAGCTCTGCTTTGGTGCTTGACATTGTCTTCAGTGTCTGCCCTAGTGAGTGGCCTTCTGCTGTTTGAAGGTTGATCATGCTTTGCTTCCTTCTTTACTTTGGCTGCTAGAGTCTGAGTCAGATTTGTCACTCATGCATGACAATTGAGCAAGATATATTGTGCATTTTTGACTATTTTTTTTCATTTTTCATTTGCACATTTACTTTCCCATTATATGGTATATATTTTCTTAACCATCTATTTGTGTGTGTGTGTGTTGAAACACAGTATACACACACACACACACACACACACACACACACACACACACACACACTGAGTGGCCAGATTATTATGACCATCCCATCAGTACTTCGTTGTGCCACCTTTTGCCTTCAATACTGCGGTGATTCTTCTTGGCATTGGCTCCATGAGATGTTGAAAGGTGATGTGAGGAATCTGACACCATGCCTGATGAATAGCACTGTCTAGTTCTGTGAGATTTGATGGTTGTGGAACCAGCTGCCTGATGGCTCTTCTAACTGTCCCACAAATGCTCAATTAGAGTGAGATCTGGTGATTGTGGGGGCCACCTAAGCAAGGTAGTCTCCCTCATGTTCTTGAAACCACTCCTGCACAATACGAGCACCGTGGCATGGTGCATTATCTTGTTGGAAGAAGCCATATCCATTGGGATACACCATCAATATGATAGGATGAAGTTGATCAGCAATGATACTTAGGTATGTTGTACTATTCAGATGTTTATAATGATCTGGCCCTCTAGCAACTTCAGCAGGAAAGTATAGCTACTTTGCCTACAAACGTCAGGTGGTCATAATAATCTGGCCACTCAGTATATATATTTGTGTGTGTGTTGAAACAGTGGTTTTAAATATAAGTGATTGTCTAAAGTCTTACATATGTCTCCTTTTCCCCCAATTGACCCCCCCCCCCAAGCCATTCCCATCCTGGGCAAGCCCCCACCACCCCAGTGTGTGTGTCCATTGGTTATGCTAATATGCATGCATACAAGTCCTTTGGTTGCTCTCTAACTCCTGCCTCCCCCATCATTTGTCTCTAGATCGATCTATTCTTGTTCATCAAACTATGTTGATCATTATATCCCACTTATGGGTGAGATCATGTGATATTTATCTTTCTCCAACTGGCTTATTTTGCTTAGCATAATGTTCTCCAGTTCCATCTATGTTGTTGCAAATGTTAAAAGTTCCTTCTTTTTTATAGCAGCGTAGTAGTCCATTGTGTAGATGTACCACAGATTTTTAATCCATTCATCTGCTGATGGGCACTTAGGCTGTTTCTAAATCTTAGCTATTGTAAATTGTGCTGCTGTGAACATAGGGGTGCATATATCCTTCCTGATGGGTGTTTCTGGTTTCTTGGGATATATTCCTAGAAGTGGGACTACTGGGGCAAATGGGAGTTCCATTTTTAACTTTTTGAGGAAACTCCATACTGTCTTCCACAGTGGCTGTAGAAGATTGTGTTCCTACCATTTCAGCAAAATTGCATACAAAAGGCAAGCAGGTATCAAGGTAGGTGGATGTTGGGGACTACCTACTACAGCTCAAGTTTTGTTAGAACATGGGGTAGGTAGAAACGTGCCCTCCAAAGCACAAAGAGCAGCTGTGGGCTAAGGTGGGGCAGTCTCAATTAAAAGGCATGGCTGCCATGCAAGCTCACCATTTTAGAATGATTATCACTTTGATACACCACTATAAAAGCAAAGGAGTTGAAATTTTCCATTAGACACCTTGTTGGGGAGTTTTATCTGGTCAGGTTACTTGACTACTGGAGTGTGGAAAATCTTTAAGAACTAGATTTTGTAGGTACAGGATGTACGAGGCAATGTCCACTTACTGTGACAGCTTTTAGGGCAGATTTTATTTGGCAATGGCAGTGGTGTTTACCCCACAGAGGCTGGTAGTAGCAACGGATCTAACATACTCAGCTGGAAACCCTAATAAGTTATTATCTACAAAGTGCTAGGCATTTTGTCTATAATATGGCAACTCCTTTCAATCTTACAGAGGCTTATATTTCTAGAGATAAGCAAACAAGCTCAAAGAGGTTGACTGACACAAAGCCAGGAAACCAAGTGGGAGAGCCAGTGTCTGTCTGCCCTTCGAAGTTTCTCCTTTCTCTATTATGGCCATGCTCCCCCAAACCAACAGTAAGCCTGCATCAAATTTACAAGATTCCAGTCTACTTAAGATTGTGTTCCTACCATTTCAGCAAAAGTCAAAAAGGGGATAGTGGTTCCAGAAGATCGAATAAAAGAGGCAAGCTAATACTACAAACATTCCCAAAGAATGACAAAATACATAATAGAAGGTAGACCAGTAAACTATGTAATGTTAGAATAATTTAAGATTGATCTTGGTTTCAATTTTGCAGGGTCCTTATTTTTTTTAATTTCGCTGGAGGATATTTTTTCCATTGCTTTTCAGAGACAGAGTAGGGTGGGGGTTGGGGGAAGAAACATTGATGTGAGAGAGACATATCGACTGGTTGCCTCCTATAGGCGCCCTGACTGGGACCAGGTCAAACCTGCAACTGAAGTTATGTGCCCATGACTGGGAATCAAACCTACCAGCCTATGGTGTGTGGGCTGAAGCTCTAACCACTGAACACACAGGCTAGGGCTGCAGAGTCCTTTTATCGTCCTCCTACCCTTTATTTTTAAACAGAAGGCTATAAAACATTGTTGGAAGCCCTCCAAAAAGAAACAATTTCATACACTGCTAATAAAAATGTATAAATTGATTAAGTTTTCTAGGGGTCAAAGTGGCAGTAAGAAAAGCTTTTAAAAATTGGCATCTTCTTTCCACTAGCAATTCCATTTCCACGTACTCATCTTAAAGAATATTAAGAACACATAAAAGATTAGTAACACGATGTTCTTTAAAGCAGTTTATTAGTGAAAAATTAGAAACAACCTAGAAATCGACAGTCGTTTAGTAAAATGTGGCACATATGATGGAATACCATGCAGCTATTAAAAAAGATGCAGCAATACATTTGACACAGCAGGATGGTCATGGTGTTGTCAAGTGAAAAAGTTACAAAACAGTATGTACAAGTTGATCCCACTTAAAAATATCTACAAAAGCATGGAAGAGTCTGGAAGGCTATACACCTAAGTAACAGTTCTCCCTGGATGGTGGTATTATAGGTTATTTTTATCTTTTAAGCTATATTTTCACATTTTTTTCCTTTTTATCAACACATCTGACTTTTATTAAGCATTAACAATTCTTAAACAAACTTCCTTTGAAGTGGGAATGAGAGCAGAGCTTAGCAACCTGAGTCAGAGATGCATGTTAGTCTGATACCACTATAATGGTTTGTTGGGGTGCTTTGATGTCAAACTGCCACTGCACTGAGTGGAAATGGGGGTTGTTGGGCTTACCTTTCTCAGACTATCCCACTAACTCCCACAGCAACCAAGTACTGGCATTCTATACTCTACATTCACGTCCACTTTATAATATAGCCCAACAAGATTCCTCTACACTGAAGACAGCACTGTTGTTGGTACAGGTACAGAAGGCAGGAATTTCTCAAGTGATGTCAGATAATAGGCCTGAAGGTGACAGTACACACTATGTGCTAGCCTTAAGCTAACAACTGTGATCAAAAGAATTATGGTCTGCATCTCAGAAAGCCTGCATTCTTAAGTGATCAATATATACTAAACAAATTATAAAAGTAACTATAATTTTGATTAATGCTAGAAGACAATTTTTGTCTTAAAATGTTACATGAAGAACTAAGACTAGTTCTACAGCCCCTTGAAGAAAAAAAATCAGTACAACTTAATGTAGGAAGTACTTGGAAATATGAATTAGCATTTTTGACAGTTCCTAGGTATGCTGCTATTGTCCATTTTGGGGTCTCACACTGAGAACCACTGCCCTACTGAGTAGGCTTCCTAATTAGGACAACGGGGGGAAAAGGGCTGGTGTGCTCTTAAATACCCTTCCTCCCCTTTTGAGTCTCAAGAAGTGGAGAAGGGGTTGAGACAAAGCTGGCTGTAGGTCGAAGTGCAAAGCCATCTATTTATATGGCTCCTCACCCAGGCTTGAAGTGCTACACACTACGACACCATATTTCAAAAGTTCAGGCATTTGGGAAGTACAGTAGAGATTTTTGAGGACTCCTGTCAACAGAGCTGAGCCTAAATAAACAAAGCTATAGCTTCTTGTCCAGCATTCCATCACCCTCCCCCCATTTATCTCAGAAAATGTCCTCCCAACACCAGCTCCTACATTCACATTCTGTTCGCTTGTACTGGTGGAAGGTAACAGCATCCTAGGAGGATGGACTCTAACCCACTGGATTCAGGTTTATTTCTCACGTTACCCAGAGTGAGGCACACTCCTATTTCCCTAATCTTCTATAATATGAATTCTTTTAATTAGCACCATAAACAAAGATTTAACACCATGGACTTTTAGGTTAGATTACTTTGAGGACAAATGTAGAGACAACCCAACCACTTATTTTTATTTGTAAAAGAGCCTACAGTTATCTCCAAGTTTATTTTTTATTCATGAGTATCCTTCACATGTTACTATACCTAAGCTCTGGGGCACAAAGTTTATTTAAATAATTCTGAATTGCACCGTGAATTAATAGGCTTCCCAAGCTTTTCTTCTATGCCTAAAGAACCTTTATGGGCCTTTACCTGAGTAAAAATTAAATCTATGACTTTACAAAACAAGCCAAAACCAAAATAAAACTAACCCCCATCCCCAACAAGCACACAAAAAACCATTAAAATAAAAAGCAATAAACAGAAGAATAAGCCCACATGTTGTGGTAGATTTGTAGTAAACAAAGGCACAAGAAGCCTTAGAACCATAATATTATTGAAGGCTAATGTACATCACTGGGTTACTATAGTCAATACTCATTTAGTGGAAGGCAGAAGGGTCTAATAAAATTTTGCACTGACTGTGGTGAGGTTAAACCAGGGGTGGGCAAACTTTTTGACTCGAGGGCCACAATGGGTTCTTAAACTGGACCGGAGGGCCGGAACAAAAGCATGGATGGAGTGTTTGTGTGAACTAATATAAATTCAAAGTAAACATCATTACATAAAAGGGTACGGTCTTTTTTTTTTTTTAGTTTTATTCATTTCAAACGGGCCGGATCCGGCCCGCGGGCCGTAGTTTGCCCACGGCTGGGTTAAACCTAGATCTGAGTCTGATTTAAAGAGGGTGGAGGATAGGACAAGAGTAGAACAGATCATATCATATCATATATATAAAAGAGGTATCTCTGGTTCAGTCATAAACGAGGCCTACAGTCTTTGTAGATCAGGAAGCTACAAGGGCTAAAAAGTGAAAACTGGTAGAGAATTTCCTGTGTGTCAAAACTTTCCCTAAAAATTGCCTAACATACAAGATAATAATAACCTTAAGGTGGCATAATTATCCCCATTTTACTAATAAGGAAACAGCAGTTCATGCGTTATCTCTGTTGAAGTTCAGAGAGCACAGTATGCAAGGAAGACTGGATTTGAATCCAGGGACCATTCCATTCCAGTGGTCGTACTCTCCCCTTCATTACTCTACTTCCTATAAACCAGATTTATAGTTGCTGTTTTAAAAGTTGACCTGAATTTTTTTTTAAAAATGATCTTTAAAGCCTAAATCTTGACTTTATAAAACATAATAGGTAGTACTCTAGGCTGTCTGTAGAACTTCCTTCCTGGGGGTGGGAGGGGGGGGGGTGGGGTAGGGCGGGGGAAGCTTGCTCGCTTGGTTCTATAGCTAACCAGCTTGAGCAGCTTTTGGCTTGAGTATGGCAATTCACAGTGTGAATCAAAGTGTCTTGTACAACTATAAAATCTCAACTATAATTTGTCTCATAGCACCGAAATAAAAGGGTAACAACTACTGTTAAAAGTTTAGACTGAGTTAAATTATCAACATGTTTACCAAGTTATTAGGAACTCTAAAACACCATTTTGAAACATCCTTTTGTGTTAAGTATTTATCATTTTTTAAAGTACCAAAAAAATATTTTGATGCACTAACATTCCCTGAAATGAGCTACATCTCTGCAATTCTTGTGTAAGTTAGCCTGAATTACTTTCCATTGTCAGAATGTATTATACTCTTTCGGCTCCTGGCCTGGCACATCTTTTCCTCTATGAAGCACTTCCTCTTCAAACTACCTCCCACTCACCAAATCTCAATCAGGTGACGCCCAAAGCACCGAAACACAGTACCTTATCCTATCATGACAGTGATACTTATTCTGCATCTTGTACCTGGACCTCAACAAATGCTTAATAAATGATAGAATAAGAATGACAGAAGTTCTAACATGGACACAATCTGTTGATTCACAGCAATGGTCCAAATAACAATTTTCTGACTCAAAGTGTGTCACTAATAATTTCAGTAAGTGTGTGTTTCATAACTACAGATCCTGATCAAGATAAACTAAGTTTATCAATATTTTATAAGTTAATAAGTTTTCAAAATTTTATTAGTAAGCTCAGAGTAACCAAAAGTGGATTGTTTGTATACACTTTATGATGAATGTAGTTTCACTGGTTTGTATTTTTATAAAGATTTGTTGTTCAGTAAAAACAAATTCTCTGTATTGTACTGCAGTATGTTCTTAATGAGTCCAATTCTGATCATGCTTAAACTGTGCCAACTGAACAATCTTAAAACATTGCTTAGTGAATTGAACTTGCCTCAGATGTTTTAGAACCTTTACTGCAAAAATACCAGAGAAGTATGGTAGTGCTTTTCAAAGACTAGTTGTTCTTAAATTTAAATCATTCAGTAGTGTTTAATAAAATAAACAACCCCCCCCCTCAAAATAACCCATTGAAATATGTTATTGAAATCATTCAACTTCTGTTGGAAAACAAGGTAAACATGGTATAATTGCATTTCTGTTCAAGGAAACATTCAGAAACACATTCTTCACAAAAGAGGTTTATATCCTAGGTCTCTTCTGAAACCAAAAGTTAAAAACAAATTTTAATTTTATTCTTTGGCTATACCTAATAAATGAGTCACTGATATCAATTCACAATAAATTTATTTTACAGAAAAGAAAAAGCTTGCCATTAATGAAAAATTCAGTAGAAAACAGTTCTTCTGTTTTAAGTTGGGGCTCAAAAGTAGAAGCTGCTTATTAGTGAAACCTCAGTAGAAAGAGAATTTTGTAAGAAAACATTCTTGGTATGAAAGTTCTAACATAAATTCTGTAATGAAATAGTTACCAAGCAATTTTATTGGCAGAAAGCCCGTTTCTGATGGCTGGTATTTTCTTTCCAGTCTCTTTAAGACATTAACATGGAAGATACTAAACCTGCTTTATTTAGAGTTAGTTGTATATAAATAGGGTGTCATGATGGATAATCTTTCCATAGTCCACCTATTTAATTGAGCAGTTCTAAGTAGGTAATTGGCACCCTACCCTTCTGATTTCCCCTTTCCCCCATTAGCCAGTCTGAATCCATTCCAACGACACTGAACACAGTGATCACCTACAAAATAAAAATATTTCCAGTTACTATGTTAAAAAATAAACACATAGGAAACTAATCAGATTTGTATTTAACTATTCACTATCAAGGGACTTTAAACATTATTGTCAATTTTGCTAAAAGTTAAAGGATATTTTTTAGAGGCAGTTTTAGAAATCTTCCAGTTATTTAGCAGTTAAAAGCTTTAAATATTTATGTGATGTTATATTTTGTTAAAGAATAGTAGTTAAAATTCTATAAAATTGAAATCTATGAAAGCATTCATGATAAACTATTTCCAAATAAGTAATGAGGAATTTGCATTTTGTTATACTAGAAGATATGTCAATCTACAATAGTTTTCTTCTTATACCCACTTTACTCACCTCATCTGCAAGAAGTGATAATTCACTACTGTTTGCAGCATCATAATCGTATAGAACCCTGGCCTTTCTGCTGCCACTGCCCTCCTTAAGGTCAATAAGGTTGGAAGGAGAGGTCATTACTAGGCCACTTGAAGTCATGGCAGAAGAACCAATCACATTTGATGAAGCAGATGGTACAGGTACCACGGAAGTCTGATTGTTGTTAGAATGATAACTGGATGGAAAACTGTTGAGAAGAAAATGGCTAATTAACTATTTCGAGCAACCAAAGCTCCTGGATACCACCACTTGATGGCAGTGTTTACTTGCTACCAACTTTCACTGTGAACAGAGATTTATGGATGCTGATATTTTAATGACAAAGTGTGCTGACCAGCTTATTATGCCTCTTGCAGTATCTTGACTCCTCTAAGCCTCATGCACATGAAGTCTGTCAACAAATCCTACTGCCTCTACTTTTAAAATTCACAACCAGAGTTTGACCACTTCCCCCACATCTACCACAATGACCCTGACCCAAGCCACCATCATTTTCTGAGTGACCAAATCATTCCAAAAGGTTCCAAACAGGTCTGTCAGCTTCCATCCCATGCCCTCTAACAACTATCCTCAACAGAGCAGCAAGAACAATTCTCCAAAAGGCTAAAATCAAATCATGTCACTCAATAGATCAAAATCTCTAAAGGGTCCTCATATCTGAATAAAGGCCTAAGTCCAAACAGTGGCTTCCAGAGCCCTGTGTGTTCCAGCTCTGTGTCCTCAATTCATCTCCAACCAAGCCCTCCTTGCTGTTGCTTGAATGTAACAGCCATGTCCCTGCTTCAGGGCTTTTGTTCCTGCTATACCCTTCCTGGAGCATCGTCTTTCAGAAGCTGCATATTTTGCTTCCTTACATCTTCTAAGTCTTTGTCTTCCCTGACAAACAGCTACCCTAACCAAGGTACTAGCTTGCTGTATTTTTCTCTATAGCATTTATCACCTTCTAATATATGATGTAATTCACATATACACTGATTTTTCTACTTCCCTCTACCCCCAAATAGAATGTAGGTTCCATTTCTAATTCAAGTTTCCCTCTAAAGTTAAGAATACATTTCCTAGCATTCCTTCCTGAGTGAACTCAAGTCCTCAGCAGTGATTAAATATACACATTTCTGAAGATAGAAATAAAGCCCTCTCTCTCCACCTATGAGGTTTTAAAAGTCTCTAACCATGGAATTTTACTTTCAAATTTACTAGTATGTTTGGCTGTTGTTTAGCCACTAAGATCTACCTATGTTAATTTTGGGGAATTTATGGAAAAAACAAAACACAACACTAACCAACCAAAAAACCTGAAAGGCCCTTTTCACCTTTTAAGAACTTTAATGACACACTAAAAAAAATTAGACTTCCTGATATAACCTGATATGTTAAAACCTCCCAGTTATTTAAGAATACATTTACTAATCTTGTGAGAAGTGCTCTGTTTTCTTGTCTATAAAATGTGGATGTATTAATACCCACTTCGCTGGTGTGAGGATTATAACATTATTACATATGAGGTGTCTAAAAGAGTGTCTGGGGACACTGGAGCCCTTCCTAAGTGATTGCTGCTTTTCAGTTACTATTACTAACAACACTGCTATTTTAGCCATTAGCATTACAACCTGGTTTTACTCTTCAGAAATAGCTCTTGAATTTGTTACTGTGGATTTGGATGACTTTCAAGTTCTACATTTAAAGACCTACAAGTTTTCCCACTCTCAACCACTGGTCATTACCAGTAATATAATTCACTGAGGGCAGAGAGACAGGCTAGACATTCTTTCTCCGAATAATAGCACTATTTTCACTTTGTAATGTTTGAGGTTATCGTAAAGTGTAGCAAGGAAACTAGATTTTGTTTGAATGGCTGAATTCCAAGCATTTGTGTGGTTTTAAGCAGAAAGCAAGTATGAATGGTAACAATAGCAACTCCTCTGCAGCACTCCCAGAGTATTAGGACAAAGTGAATAGGAAGTAGTAAAGCTTCTTGGACTTAAAATAGTTATAGTGACGTGGGGAAGCAAATGGTATTCGGCTTTTAGATATTAATACCACTAACAAAACTTTAAATATAAAAGAAGTGTAAATCCTTCTATAAATCCTATTAGAATAACTAATGGTATTAGGATAAAATTAATTTTTAAGATCTAAAATTGTTTTGTAAATGTGCTTAATTTTGTTCTAAGTCTAGTTTTGAAAGATTAATATGCAGAAAGGAACATCAAAGTGTTGACATTTTTTGCCTTATTCCTTGAAAAGTAAACTTCAAACACCCTTGAAGCTATTTTTACATAGCGCAATAAAGGTATTCACTTAAATTATCTTCTCATCTCTGTTAATATTCTTCTGTGTTAGAAGAGCTCAAAATGTTTTTTATAACCTTAGAAGTCTGATAATAGGTTTCTTTTTTAAAAAAACTGATTTTGCCCTAGCCATTTTGGCTCAGTGGATAGAGTGTCGCCTGTGGAACCGAGAGTCCTGGGTTCAATTCTGGTCAAGGGCATGTACATTGGTTGGAGGCTCCTTCCAGGTCCGGGCCCTGGTTGGGGCTCATGCAGGAGGCAACTAACTGATGTGCTTCTCTCACACCGATACCTCTGTTTTTCCCTCTCTCTAAAAATCAATAGAAAAATATCCTTGGGTGAAGATTTAAAAAATTTAAAAAATAAAAAACCTGACTTAAAGCAAGCTAATAAAAGCCTTTAATTTTTCTAATCTTCATCTCTAATACTACTTTATAAGAAAAGACCTGAATTTCTTTTCTTATCAGGAATTTCATGAGAAAAGAAAATTACCACCTTCCCAGTTGTTTCTGAAGGTCTAACATGTACTGGTAACATTGTGCATAGTAAGTCATCTGGGCTTCTACAAAGTCATTCAGACAGCGGAGGTGATGGGCCTGTGAAGGAAAGTTACAGTCACTTCTTAGCTCTATAATCTATCATAAGGGGAAACAGAATACAACACTGTACTCAGGGAGAATCACTAGTATCTAGCACTTTACTACAAGGCTTATTAAGACTGACCATGGCCAACTGTGTAATAACAAACTGTTTAGCCAACAAAAATCAACAAATGGTTGATTATGGTGGGAGAACTAGGTGATAGAGTGTAAATAAAAATTTAAAATATTTCTTCATATATCTTAAAAAGTGTCACAGTTTAAATTTCCCTGATAAATAACTAAAAAGGAAGTTCAGGTTTTCTTCCGCAAATTGCCTGAGGACTATCAAAGTCCTTTGTTCCAAATGAATTTCCAATAAATGAATACTCACGTGTGTACTGCTAATTCCTTCTAGCAGAAGTCTGGTAATCTCTGCCTGACGATCGAATTCACTTTGAGTTATTCTTAATTCCTGTTCAGACTTAAATTGGAACATAGTTTTAGAACCTCATTAAGAGGACTTAGTCCATTTTACATACATTTATGTAGACTGTCAAAGAAAAACCCCAAACAAATCCTAAATGATAATCTGGCAATTCTCTGATTCTGCTTTTGTATCTAAATTGGTCCCTGGTTTCTAGACATTAGTTTTTCTATATTACTCAATCTAGACAGAACTGATTCCTTACAAGTACCTGACTCAAAAGAATCTATTAATGCCAAAGCTTAATGGCATACACATGAAAGTCTAGAAAAACTACTGGGACAAGCAATATATTTCCAAGTATCAACTTTGCCATTTTACAAAATCTTAAAATCACTAGTTTACATGTATAAAATATTTCAAAAAATCCTCAAACTACTACTATAGTTACTTTATTTTGAACTTAAAGATAGTCTTTAATATTAAATGAACAACTTCAGAACAAAATCACAGGATTTTAACCACTCGGATGTTTAGTTACCAAACATATACTTGTTTCTAGAACATAGTTTTTAGGTTTCTTCTAAGGATTCTTTAACCTACATAAGTGTCTTTAAGTTTTCTTTCCAAACTTTGCATGAAATAATGTTTTAAGCAGAAATATTACCCAAAAGATATGCTAGGGTTTTTCTGCAAGTAATGGGTTCCCTTTAATCAGTGGTGTGCTGGGGTAAACTGACTTTCTATGAAATACAAAAGCACTAATGTGTTTATTTTTATGGTGTAAATACTCCTACACAGTTGATTTCAAGCCACCAAGCTCAAGTCCCTGAACTTGGAGTTGGAAAGAGGTGTGTGTATAATAGTACACCACTCTTAGCTTCAACCATTGATATAGGTTTAGTGCTGGGACAAAACAGATCACTAAAAAATCAACATAATATAAAAACAGTAAATACTGGCAAAACCATCTTCTCAAACTTTTAGCAAGAGTTGGTTAGTAGTAAGTGAGTAGGTCACTCAAAATAGCTCTCTCACTGGGGATCATCATTATTAATAACATTATAATGGTATTTTCCACCTCTCCAGAATAAACAGCTTCCCACCCCCAGCCAAATAATTGCAATATTTCCAGGACTATGTAAAACTACTTTAAGTATAAAAAGTCTGAGCTTTTTCCTTTCATACCCCATCTCCCTCTCTTTCACCCTTGGTGGCAACAGTTAGCCTATTGAACCAATCAACAAGGAAGCAGCAGCAAAATAGATAATCAGTTGCTTAAGTATTCTAATTTCACTGGCAACAGGCCTGGCAGAGGGAACTAAGAACTGACCAGTAGATTGGATTTATAGAAATAAGCTTACATTACTCAATAAATGGTGTTAAAATTAAATTTACTTGACTAAAACCACCATGAAGACATGCTGCTTTGATACAGGGCTGAAGTAACCTTCATCTGGAAGCTAGTAAGAAGTGGAAGAAAGTCCCAGGAGAAGAATCAATGTTCTTCTTAAGGAAAATGTTAAGGAAAACCAATCACTTCAGTGTTACATTTGCACTATTTACTATTCTGCTTGCTTGAATGCAAAAAGTTTGATTAATACAAATAACCATAACAAACCAAAAATAAATAAATGAGGCTAGTTCCATGTACAACTTGAATTAATAACCTTTAGTAGGCTTTAATGGCAGAAAAGCCTACTAAGTGACAATATTTTTGTACAAGGTATAAACAAGTATGCTAAGTAGATTAAAAGTGACATGGAAGTTTGAGTCTGAAGTAGAAATAATGTTTTGTTTTGTTTTTCTCTTTCAAATAATTTTAATAACCTGGCAGTGAGTCAAAATATGAAAAGAAGACTCAAATTTATTTCAAGGGGGATGCTATCATGATTGCCTTACACATAACCAAAGTTAATGATGACAATGGATTCCAAAGAGTGAGGATGTTAAGAAGGCTTCAAGGTTCAGATTGAAGAACTTGGTTTTGGTGATTTGGTGTGGAGATGTGGAACTAGTGTTTTAAAGCTAAGACACTGAATAAAAAAATAAAATAATCTCAAGGACAAGGGATCAGACTTCCAGGTTTGAGCAACCTAGGCCTTATATTTAGAAAAGGTAAATGATAGGAAGAAAAAAATCTCATTAAAAAACAAACAAACAAGTTTCAGTGTGTACTGGGGTAGTTGCAAGCGATGAAAGTCCCAAATAATTTCTACTTCTACACATATAATTGAATCTGAGAGGCAGAGGTTAACTGAAATTAGGCTCAGCATAATCAATTTACTTAGGAAGAAAATGATCCATACTAGACAGGTAAAAAGGGTTTAAAGAAAGACAATAAATTTAAAGGGTTTTTATTCTGTCCTCCAGAAGATCTCATTCCCTGACTTAAGTTTACAATTGAAAGGTAGAGTTCTAGAGAAAAGAATTACTGCTTAGATTACTGTTACTGGGCTAATTGATCTAGAGCAGTGGTCCCCAACCTTTTTTTGGCCATGCCCCACCTAAGCATCTCTAAAATCCCAATGCCCCTTCTGTGACCTATAATTCTTATTCAAAAAGTGAAGTCCTATTCACGTGGAGGAAGCCTAAAAGGCCATTAACTTGGTCTAAACAAGCTTCCAAAGAATATGGCATCCATGAAAGAGAAAAATAAAATAACAAAAGGACAGTTGAAATACTGAGGAAGAAATAACTAAGAAATTATTTAAAATATAGTAATATGAAGTGATATGAAAAAATAGCAAATAAAGTTTCAAAACACATAATAGAGAACTGAAATGCATAAATATAACACAAAATATATTTACATACTGTATATGAGGCCCCTAGAACCATAAGAAATGCAAAAACTTCACTGTTAATAACTCATTCTCGAATTGCCCTCCTTAAAAATCAAATTGCCCCCCTGTGGGGCATGTGCCCCACGTTGGGAACCACTGATCTAGAGTATATGGTAGCATAACTTGTATCAGAAAAGCAAGAAAAGTCCTTTTAAGATGTAACTTGGGAAAAGGGCAAGAATTTGTTGGTCTGTGATATCAGCTAGAAATTTAAATCATGTATTTTCTGTGACAAACTTCGTCAGTGTTACTTACTTTATCCTATGGGCTTAAATCTTTAAAATATTCCAGAAACATAAATTAAACATTTTTAAATTATGACAAAAGTGAGATTTACAGAAGAATTTTTGATATATTTCTTAAGTTCCTCTCATATATACATAATATAAGTATTTGTTTCATGAATTGTTTCCCATTATATCAAATATTTCCTAAAGTTGCAGAGATTGAATCAAATAAATTTTTTAAGTATACTTGCATGCTAACCAAAGTGGAAGAGACCCTGGTTTTCTTGCTTAATCTATATTCTCTTCTATATTACTCTGCCATCTTTTCATGCTAGAAGTTCTAAAAGATATCAGAGGCCAGGGTGAAACTATAGCTAAATTGATGAATAGATTCCACAAAAGGGGATGAGAATATAAGTTAAGAATTTCACACTGGATTGCCAAGTCATAGAATCAACAGCTCCATAACCTATGCACAGAACAGATTGTATAGTCAGCAATCCTACTGTCAAAAAATAAATGAAAAACGATTCTGAAGATTTCCAATAGCATTTAAAACAAATCTGCATTAAAGTCATGATTTTATTTATTAAATTCTTGCTTAGTTATTTGATTTCCCAGCCCAGAAAGATTAGAAATGATAACAACAGGCTAGTCGCAGACATATGGACAACTTCTAAAAGTGACAGTTTGACAAGAAGACAACACACTTCAAAAACAAAAGATCTAATTGTTATACAGTATAATAATGAATATTCATAATAAAGACCCTAACTTTAAGTAAAATTCAATATATGTTATCCTGCTTAATGCAGCATCAAGAAACTTTTTGTACAAATGTTTTTAATTAAAGTGACAGAAAAATAAGCGTTGGTGCTGGAGAGAACAAGTTTCAGTTACCTAGAAAATTTACTTGTGTGACATGAACACAGAGAATATGATGTTAACTATATTTTACATAATTGCCATATGAATAAACCAAGTATTTAAACTGTCTCTGGCAAGGCACTATAAAGATTACCACTTAATCTATCAGGTATCAATAGTGTGTGCAAACAATATCTCTGCAGGACTGTTCTATTGCTCTGTGGACCTGAGTGTTCCATAATCATTTTCAGATTTTATAAGATACAGTAACAAAGACTGTGACTAGCCCCACGGTTATCGTCCAATATTCTCTGAGTGAATGACAATTAAATTTGTTTCATAATTCTGTAGTTTAATAATTTACTTACTTTTGTCACTTCCTCTGCCCAAATCTAGCCAGCATTAAAAATTAGAGAAAAATATACAGCATGAAAGTTGGAATTTAACATTTTCTACAACTTAGTATAGAGAAATGTAAATATTTTAATTCAAATGGCATACTCCTTTTCTCAGGATCACATTATCAGGTGAAATATAGAAGTAACTAAATTAGTACAGCTTAATATACTGTGAAAGTATGCCTTCATATGTATAAATACTATTGATTTTTGAACCTTATACTGATTCTCTAAATTAATAAGAATAACAGTTATCTAAAATGGAATATTTAACCCCTCTTAGTTCTAGTTTTCTTATTTATAAAAGTTTGGACCAAATGATTTCTAATTCCTCATTAGGCCTAAACTCTACAACTTTAGGAAATTAAAATAAAGCAAAGGTAAATGTACACTGAACACGGATATAGTCATTGGGATGGTGGGGGCGGGGGGAGACAATAAACTAGAGATACTACTATAATGAATTTAAAATTACCAGAGTTAAATACATCTTATTATAAGTAGATGATATCAGTAATAAGACAAGTGCCTAATTAATGAAACAGTCTTGCTAATTGGTTAGGATATTTTTACAAAAGAAAACCTACAATTTATATACTAACTTACCAATGACAGAAAGAAATAGTCTCACACTTTTCATTGTCCTACAGATAGGACAATGGAAATAAATAAATGCATTCTCTTGCTATCTCAGGAAAGCCCTCATTTAGTCAGTGATTCATGGATTGCACCCCCCCCCCTTTTAATTCAATGCTAATATTGGGAATAAAAGCAGCTAGTTTAACTGCCAATTTATTATCAACTTTACTACAATTTCCATGTCACTTCTGTGGAAGTAATTTATGTAGGAATATAATATACCAAATACTCATAAATCTTTACTAGCTAACACTTTTAAGATTTGGGCAGTGTTCAGATTTTTCATATTTCCATCATGTTAAAAAATCAAAAATTCCCAGCCGGCCAGGTGTGGCTCAGCAGTTGACCAAGGAACCAAGAGATCACCAGTTCGATTCCCAGTCAAGGTATATGCCTGGGTTGCCCCCAGTAGGGGGAGTGCAGAAGGCAGCCAATCAATGATTCTCACTCAACATTGATGTTTCTATCTCTCTTTCCCTCTCCCTTCTTCTCTGAAATCAATACAAATATATTTTAAAAAAATTTCCAGCATCTCCTAAATTTCCTCCAATCAAGCTCAATACATACTTTGGATACTATATATAACAATTCTCACTTTCAATTCTTGTCCACCATTGTCTCTATTCTGCAATTTTCTTAAGTGAGCATATGGAGGAATGGGCCTTCCCACTACATAAATACCAAAACTATTGAGGTTTGTTTTGGCCTGGAATTGCAAAAGATTCATTCTATGTTGAGTTTGGGTGAAAATTAAGGGGACGTTGAAGATACTGAGAAACAAAATAAATATGTATACCTTATCCCTTTCTCTAAGTTAAGTAAGTTTTGTTAATTTTCTTTGCCAAAAGTGAACATATAAAGTGCCAGCTAAATTAACATCTTTTATAGGGCATAAAAGGCACAATAAATTTATGTGTAAATTCAGACTGTAAAATCTGAATTTGGCATAGCTAATATATTTGGCAATTAGAACACATTCTTTCTTTTTAGTTCCAATATTATTTAAGCTATTATTCCACATATATTTTGTTAAACTAATGAATGCATGTCTTTTTGAATATTTTAGACCATTAAATGCAGATGATAGCAGGAGAAGGCACTTTATTCAAGATGTAGAAAACACAGTAGGCCAACAAACCTTTAGCCATTTTACATGCAGGAAGTTGAGCATGTAAGAGAAATTTACCATAATGTTATCTCCTTCAAGGTGAGCTGAGTTTAGTTGCTTAAATACATAGGTAAGAGACAAAGAACACATTATACCAATGAACACAGTGAAATAAGTTTTTTCTGCACAATAAAGAACACACAAACAGGTATTATTACTTTAAAAAAATTCTCTATTTTTTCTATGGAATTTCATAGTGGAACCTATTCTATTTTTCCAAAAGATTTAAATTTTCAAAGACAAAAAATATGGTTGATGTCTGATTTAAAATTAAAATCATTTAGGGAAAATGCATCACTTTAAAAACTGCTGCTATTATCTATAATTTTTATTAAAATTTTCACTATGAAAGTCCTTTTGCCTACCCACAGCTTTCCCATTCAAAGGAATAAACTAGTCATAAAACAATCCATGGAAATTTATAAATAAGTAAAATCAAAGAAAGTCTGAGGTTATAGTAACCTCTTCAGCTGCCACTTAAAACTAGGAAATGTGTCAAAGAAGAAAAGAATAAAGCAAACCCAAACTTCTGATGGTTTCTATTTTTCTGTATTCTCTAAGTAAACGGAAGTAAATGCAAAAAGCCTATTTAAGGAAGTTAGGCTGTTCCTGAAGATGATGTCAGGATAATTCTGAGGTAAAATTGACAGTGAATTTGGAATTACTGTCCTGTCAAAGATAGCACGTTTCCTGCAGTAACTAATACAGAATCTCCAAAAGAGAAACAGTATAGAAGAAAATAATTTATTTTGCACATACAAGGTACTGGGGTAATCTCATAAGACATCACTGTCCAATACCAAGTTACCAGTTTTAAATTTCATTCAAAATCAAGTTTCAGTCTTTTCTTTCCCAAAATGACAGGCACAAGAGACTTTTACCAATACTGTGGTAACATGCTCCTTAAGGCAATGATTTTTGATGGTGGTAGTAGTAGTGAATTGTGAACAGAAGGCAGTGGGAATGTAGTAAGGCTCTTAACAAAAGATATCTCTTAGCTCAAATTAAGAATTAACTTATTAGCGTCCTCTAATAAATCCAGACTTGTTTATATTTGTACCATCATAAAGTTGTTCCAATTCAAATCTGACTCATCTCTTCAAATTTTGGAATAAACATTTAAACAATATAAATGTTAGATTAAATAAGAAGCTTATAAATAAAACCTTTACACAAAGTTTTATATACATTACCACTGAATTACTACATTTAATATATACCCACTCAGTTTTATCTGAGATTGTTTTTATGAAAAGTATACAAGAACTTATTTATCCAAATAGGTTTCCTTCCCTGCAAAGCAGTCACCTGTCAGTCCCTGTTGCCGCTGTTTGAATGTTTTTGGAGCTATTCTTGGTGACAACTCCTTTAGTCAGTTTGAGTCACATGTGGAAAGAGTTACATCTATCTTTTAAGCCACACACAAGCATTCTCTAGTGTGATTCATTCTCATCTTAATTACTACTTATTTTTCTATTTCAAATATAATCAAGCTATCTCGAAAAAATCTATTTGCCATCACTGGTGACTGAGGATATTTAAACAACATGACACAGCTTGAGGAGCTCATAATTCTCATAATTTTTGTTTTTTAGCAACAGGGGTATCACTGAAATAAGAACATTGTCTGCTGATATAACTACTTTGCACTGATTTGGATATATTAAGTTCTGATAACAAAAACAACACTCTAAAGTCATATTCTAGTCTTATTGATGAATTGTAGCTTGCACTGTATATGAGTAAAATATTTTACAAGTCTGAAAATTATTAACCTAAAATGTTTTTTAAATTAAAGAACACTACTTACTGAAGCTCTAGTTTCTGCAGCTTTTGCCTTTTTTAGTCTGGTTTTTGCAGCATCCAAATCCAGTCTCTTATTTTGTAGTAGCTTCCTTTCTTTCTATAAGAAAAATATAAAGGCTAATGATATTAAAAGCCAGAAAGAGCATCCTTTTAAAATATTATTTTACATTAGTATTTAAAGTATTATTTTCCATAAATATATGAATCATCTGATAAACTGAGATCTATAATTACAAAACTGGCTATACAGTATTTGATTCCTTTTTCCTACTGTTTTCAATTTTAAAACAATAGAGACATTCTAGATATCTGGGTAAGATGGCAGGTGACAGTGAAAACAGAAATATTATTTTTAATACTTTGGGATTTTGCTCCCCAGGAAATATTTGGCAATATCTTCTTGGTTATCACAACTGGGGGAGGAATATTACTAGTATCCAATGGTAGAAGCCAAGAATGCTGCTAAACGTCCCACAATGCAGTCTAGCTCCCACAACAAAGAATTATTCAGCCTAAAATGCCAGTAGTGCCCAGGATGAAAAACTTAAAAAAAATTTAAATGTTTTTACTGAGTTCAGAGAGAAGGAGAGAAACATCGATTGGCTGCCTCCTGCACGCCCCACACTGCAGATCAAGCCTGCAATCCGGGCATGTGCCCTGACCGGGTATCGAACCACAACCTCTTGGTACATGGGTCGATGCTTAACCACTGAGTCACACCGGCCAGACTGGAATGAAAAACTTTTACAGCATTACAGTTTATCTAGAAAGTGCCTATGATGAAGGAAGTATAGGCCTAGTGTAAAGCTGCTTGATACGCTATGTGATCACATGTACCATAGCATGGAGAGCAACTCTACTACTCCAACTTACAGAATAGATAATGAATAAACATCGAATTCCTCATGGGAACTTCAAGCTTCTATAAAATAGTCACTGTTCGTTTTATTTTTAGACAGATTTCACATATCAAATTTCATCCTATTGACAATCTAATATCTTTTAAATTGTATTTCAACTTGCTGATTTTTCCTTTGTCTCAGCCAAATACTTTTACCTAGAGATAAATTCATTGTAAATATGTTTTCTGTAATATTTTATAACACGAAACCTGCAAGCAATGTTTGACCTAATATTTAAAATAGAGCAGTCTTGCAATAATCTTAGAAAAAATAGCCACCTAAATCTCCATCCTCCATCACTTAATAATAGACTAATAGATTGGGTTTGGGAAAGTGATATTTCTTACACATCAGCAAATAACACAGCTATGTGAAAAGAAAACAGACTTCTAGGGATGCAAAAAGACAGGAAGTCTAATAGCCAGAAATACAGCTTCTAATAATTAGGTTTCTGGCTCCCAGTTTAATGGCTATACTATGGTGATATTTTGTGACATCCTATCTAATAAAAGAGAAACATGGTAATTGGCGTACAACCGCTACCCTTCCCATTGGCTAATCAGGGTGATATGCAAATTAACTGCCAGCCAAGATGGCGGCCGGCAGCCAGGCAGCTTAAACTGAACATGAGGCTTGCTTGCTTCAGTGACGGGGGACTCCAACGTTCCCTGCCTGCCGCTGCCGGCCTCTGAGCTTGCAGTTTGAACATTGTAACAAATATAGAAGCGAAACAAAACCCCAGAAACCTGCTTTCAGCGAGCCCGGGATCTCAGAGCTGGAGTTGATACAGAGTTTCGATTATAGAACCCAAACAAACCAGATACCTGCTTTCAGCAGCTGAGGCCTCAGAGCTGGGGCCAAGCCTCAGAGCTAAAGCTGGCCCAGAAAAAAAAAGAAAAGAAAAAAGGAGCAGTTGGGAGCTTCAGTCCCAGCCTGAAAACAGCCCTCAGCCTCTCACCCAGACTGGCCAGGCACCCCAGTGGGGACCCCCACCCTGAAGGGTGTGTGACCAGCTGCAAACAGCCATCATCCCCTCATCCAGGCTGGCCAGGCACCCCAGTGGGGACCCCCACCCTGATCCAGGACACCCTTCAGGGCAAACCAGCCAGCCCCCACCCATGCACCAGGCCTCTATTCTATATAGTAAAAGGGTAATATGCTTCCCAGCACCGGGATCAGCGGAGCCGTGAGGCCTCCCGGCACCAGGATCAGCGTGACAGGGGGCAGCGCCCAAACCCCCTGATCGCCCTGCGGCTGTGTGTGTGACAGGGTGCGGCGCCCCAACGCCCCCACCCCACGGGCCCTACTCTGTGTGTGACGGGGTAGAGCCATAACCTCCCCATCGGCCCTGCCCTGAGTGTGACAGTAGCGGCGCCCCAACCTCCTGATCCGCCCTGCTCTGTGCATGACAGGGGGCAGCGCCCCAACCCCCAGATTGGCCCTGCTCTGTGCGTGACAGGGGGTGGCGCCGCAACTTCCCCATCGACCCTGCCTTGAGTGTGACAGGGGGCGGTGCCCCAACCCCCCAATTGGCCCTACCCTGAGTGTGACTGAGGGTGGCATCGCAACCTCCCAATCTGCCCTGCTCTGTGCATGACAGGGGAAGGCGCCCCAACTCCCCAATCGGCCCTGCTCTGAGCCTGACCCGGGGCTGCACCTAGGGATTGGGCCTGCCCTCTGCCACCCGGGATCAGGCCTAAGCCAGCAGGTTATTATCTCCCGAAGGGTCCCAGACTGCGAGAGGGCACAGGCCGGGCTGAGGGATCCTCCTTCCCCCCCGAGTGCACAAATTTTTGTGCACCGGGCCTCTAGTATTTTAATAATCATTGCAGGAACCTCTCTATATAGATTTTAATGCTGGTAATAAGTAAGAATGATGTAAGAGTATCTCAATAACAGGGACACAAAAATGGAGTCCGTATCATCAATAGTCCTGTATTTTAATTAGCTTTGTGTTCTGTTAAATACATACCTAGCTAGGTTATTTAAAATTTCTAATCTGTGACATCTACATAGTTAAGATGGCAAATTATTCACTAAAAACTGTAAATATATATCTAAATATTTTAATAAAAATTAAAGCACTTTCAACTCACAGCAATTGTTTTATAATCTCCTTCTATAAAGTTTCTTAAAGGAGTGAGAAAATTTAAAGCTGCTGTTTGAATCAGCTCTCTGTCTGCAGTTCCAATTCGCTTTTGTGTTTCTCCACACTTAATAAGAGCATTACCTGAAAAGAAAAAAAAAGGTTTTTTTAAACTATTGTCTGATAATGTTGGAAAACAGAATCATGTCAATGTAAATCAGCAACTTGATCTGCTTCATAGTTGTTACTTGTTTACTTAAGTAAAAATCAAATAGAAATAACTTTTATTTTAAATAAAATAACTGTAAAATAAGGCAGTTTTATTTTATTTTTTAAAAAAATATATTTTATTGATTTTTTACAGAGAGGAAGGGAGAGGGATAGAGAGTTAGAAAAATTGGTCAACTGCCTCCTGCACCCCCGCCACTGGGGATGTGCCTGCAACCAAGGTACATGCCCTTGACTGGAATCGAACCTGGGACCCTTGAGTCTGCAGGCCGACGCTCTATCAACTGAGCCAAAGCGGTTAGGGCAGGCAGTTTTATTTTAAAAGTTATTAAGATTATAAATATCAAAATAAAAATGACAAGGTTAAACTCATGTCAGAGTTAATTGTACTAATTGTATCAATGGGACGAAAGAGGATGGATACAATGAAAAGTATGTACCATCACAGCTCAAATAGTGTAGATTTGTTTATAAAAGTATAGTGCTTAAAATATTTTACTAAGTAGATCAAGTCAAAATTTGACTTCTGTTTCTATATTTATGTACTTATTTCAAATATCTATAAATAACAGTATGCCATATATTTGTATTTTAAGTTAAAGAAAAAATCCATGTTTTGAAAGAAAATTACTGTGGAAAATAGTGAAAGAAAAGGGAACCACAAGATCAAGATTCTACTCCCAGTTCTATCTCTAATAAGCTTTAGTTCTGTGGATCTTAATTCCTTCACGTTAGAATGAGATTAGATCTGATTGGTAAGGAAGTAATAATATAACATAGCAGCTAAGAGATCAATTTCTGGATACAGATCTACATTTGAATTACTAGGTATACGATCATGGATGAATTATGTAACCTCTCTTAGACTCAGTTTCCTTTTTTAAAAATGGAGATAGAATTTATAAGTAGGATATAAAATGGGGATTTATTGAAATAATACTTATATACAGTATTCTAATGCTTGGAATACTCAATTGTTAGCTATTATCAATTAATAATATATATTCTCAAAGCCCAATTCCAATAATTAGGGTATATTCAATGGAATTATTAGAGATAAAAACAGATTAAGTAAATTATAAAAGAAAAAATTTAGAAGCCTTTCAAATGATCATGTTCCACCGGGCCTTCATTTTGGTGAAGGAAAGACTTGGGTTTCCTTAAATTTTTATGACTCCATAAAACTGTGCCTGGCATAAGCAGATAATAAAAAAATCTGCTTAATGTATATAGTTTTTCTAAAATTAATAGTTAAACTTTAGAAATAAAACTGTAAAGATTTAAAGTATCTCCCTACTTCTGAAAAAAATTATATTTTGAAGAACACAATGTAAAAATTTTAAAGTTGTACATCTAAATGGGTTAAATGGCATTGATTACACAGTATTTAGGTTATTTCCTCTGACATAGAGAAGAGACCTACTAAAGTTTAAGTTCATTTAGTTCCAGAATTTATGAGTTATTTCATAAATCAGGATTATATATAAAAAATCATTTATTTTACCTATCATTTCATATCCATTTTTAGAACCAATTTCTTGCAGAAGTCTTAAAAAGACGAACAAGGGAGGCCAGGGGATTGTCAAGGGCGGGGGAAAAAAAAAGGACACATATGTAATACCCTTTGTAATACTTTAAGCAATAAAAAAAGAAAAAAAAAAAGACGAACAACAGGAAAAAAGCTATAGAAATCCAAAATTGCCGTATATTCTGAAAAAATTAGATTTGAAGGATAACAGTATATAACTTTGAACTCCAGAGTTATACATTAAAAGAGTCAGTATAACAACTAACAAAGCTGGAGAAACTGTAAAACATGATCATAAAAAAATGAAACTATATGAAGAAAATAGAAATGAAATGTAATCCAAACATCCAGAGATAACCACTGTTAACATTTTTATACTAATGACATTATGTGTAATGAAAGCAACAGTGATTCTAACTTATAAAATAAGCCCTCAAGAAGCTTGAAAAAAAGAGGAGACATATGTAAACAAAAACTACAATGTATCTTAAGTACCACAACAGAGATATTGCAAGAGTGCAAGTGAAGAATCCATTTAACATTTTAAACCTAAAAAGATCATATGAAATCTCAGAACAACATATGCTTAAATAAATTAAATTAAATTGAAATGAACATACTTATTTGTTACTGATAATTCTCACTTCACTGAAAATTTTAACATAAAAATTTTGAAGTTAAAAGTGATTCCACTGATATTAGGTAAATGTTAATGATGTCTCTAAGTAGTAAAAATCTACAAGATATTTGTTAATAGACCTTTTGCCTCTCACTTACCATAAGCTGTTCCAGGGCCAAACTCAGTCCCTGCATCAATCATATATTGTCCCAAAAGTTCTGGGTTGTTTACACGACTTGGAGCTTTTCTATCCAGTTTCTCATAAACAAATTCTTCTATCCTGGCATCTACAAGAAAAGTTTAAAATTACCAATTTCAAATAGCAAAACTATTTAAAAGACTCTTTTGTTCCACTACCAGACATTTATCACCCTGGAAAATTAATATGAAATTAGCATGCTTTCAAGTACTTATATTAATATACTGTAGGCCCAGCATACAACGTTCATGTACTCTATAGTAGGGGGTGTCCCTCAGCCCGGCCTGCACCCTTTTGCAGTCCGGGAGCCCTCGGGGGATGTCTGACTCATGGCTTAGACCCGCTCCCCACGGGGAGCGGGCCTAAGCTGCAGTGGGACATTGGAGAGTGGGCCTAAGCTGCAGTGGGACATCCTTAGCACTGCTGTGGAGGCGGAGGCGGAGGCGGGAGAGGTTCCCGCCACCACCGCTGTGCTTGCCAGGCATCAACCCAGCTTGTGGCTGAGTGGCGCTCCCCCTATGGTAGAGCACTGACCACCACGGGGCAGCTTCTGCGTTGAGTGTCTGCCCACTGGTGGTCAGTGCACATCACAGCCACTGGGTATTCTGCCGTTCTGTCGATTTGCATATTACCCTTTTATTATATAGGATAATTTTTTAATTTATATATTGAGTATTATATAGCTCTAAGAAACTTACTATTTTAGAAATATGAAAATTATTTTGGCAAAAAATATTTTAAAGTAAAGTAAAACCATTATATGAGTATTTTATGGGATTTTAAGTTCCAAAAAAGGGCTGGTATTCACTTTATATCTAGTGAAATTGCATTTGCCCCATTCATATAATGTCTAACTTTTATCTCTGAATATATGTTTGCAACTTCAAAAGCACGATTTTCAACTATGAAAATATGGATATAAGGTACCTTTAAGAACCAAAGAGTCATATACTTCTGACATCTTTTTTGGGCTTTTGCTTGCTCAAAGCTGTCTCTCCCTCCTAGAGTCTAAATATAGGCCTAGGGGTTTAAGAACAGAGTAATCCAGGCTTGGAATGGTCTGCAGACAGAAATCAGCAATATGATGCCTTGGCATAATTGTATTTAATTATATTTAAAGTATATAGATACATAGATACCACTGAGCATGTAGTCACTCAAGATTTCACCATTACAAATAAGATTAAAATACAAGACAAAAGGTTAAAAGCAATTATAGAACATTAGTATAAATGGAAAGGAAAAATATGAATAAACATTTTAGTGTAATAGTCAAGAAACTCACATTCACATTGCTGCCTAATAGTGAGGTATTTCAGAGACAAATGAGAAAAAGTCCAAATTTCCAGAAACAATGATTAAATATAAATTAAAATTATAATCCAAAAAGAAGTTAAATATGTTCCTTTTAATTATCTCACATAATTCCTCCACAAGTGTAAGTTTTACACAGTGCACTGAAATTTCAAAAATAAGCTAAACCAATACAGAAACACTTCAGGAGTTGGCAAAAGTGTTCATTATAAAAACATATCAGAAGAGGTTTTAAGCAGGAATTTAAAAACCATTAAATTAGTTAAAACCAAAATGAGTCAGTTTAAAATGAATCATTTAGATGATGTTACCTAAGTTTCAGAATCTCATTTTCTGACCACCACAGTACTTCTTAGCTTTGCTGCTTTCTACCTATTTGGTCAAAAGTATAAATCCCATGTTGATTTCATTCAGTTAATAAAACATTTGGTATATTTTAAATAAATGTTTCATTTCGCTAAGTCTTAAAAAACATTTATGCAACTCTGCTATAATTCAATATATATTTCTGAAAAACCCTAGTTTCTAAAAAATCATACACTAAAAATAACAGGGCTTACAGAAAAAGAGCTGGTTTAACCACACAAAACCTAAGTAACTTTATAACCAGAGCACAAACAAAAAAATAAAAAGAATTCTGTTACTACTTTTGAATTAAAACACTAATATAAAATAATATTTATGAGCCATTATAATTTCTTTATTAGAACACCATTCCTGTTTACCAGTCATGCATGACTTTATTTGCCATTCTGGAAAACATGTTTTAGAACAGACTATGTGTGCGAGGAACTCTGGATAGAGCAAGGAGTAAGAGGAAAACCTACTTTTTTTTTTTTTTAGGTGCCATGGTATATAATTTAAGTAACCTTAAGTGAATAACAAATACCACATAGTATCCCAAGACTAGGCCTCAAAGTGTAAAAGGCTTAGTTTAAAAAGTCACTGCAATTTAAATAAAACTGCACAGAATTACTAATAGTTTGTACAGTGCTTGAGTTTTTATGCAATAGCAACAAAGTTGGAATTTTAAGTACTTAAAAATAAGTTTATGGCACTCACAACATGGTCACAATAACACTGGGGGAAAAGAGGAAGGAAAACATGCATTGTTGCCTTTGTCCTTCAATTTTGATATGTAAGCTCCCAGTAAAGACTGCCAATGTGCTTGGTTCTAGTTCAAGTTCCCCTTCTAATTAGCTATACTAAATTAGACAAAATGCTAACTTGTGAGTTTCAATTAATAAACAATTATGGTGCATCTTATTTGCAAGGTTATTTGGTTATTTAGTGATCTGCTTAGGGTTGTCAGAAAATCAAATGGAGTAATTTCTGTAAAAACATAAAACTTAACATAAACAAGTGGTAATGAATTAACTTTCCCCTTAATTATTTAGGAATAATTCTTCCTTGGATGAAGCAGGAAGAGTAATTTATTTTCATAGACCTTTATATCTCTTAAAATTCAAAGTCACTGCCTGAAATTGAATTTTCAAGAGGATTTTACAAAAGCCTGAAAAATGTTGTCAGTTTGTTAGGTGATACACAAAGAAATGTTTATCACCCTCTTCTTAAACAAGGCACACAAAAAATAACCATAATCTCAAAGCTATAAACAAAAAATTCTGTTTTCCAATAGAAATTAAAACTTTTTTAACATTAAAAATCCTACTAACAGAACTTTTAATAGGAATAGTCAATAAGGTAGGCAAAAGGTAAAAATTTTCTTACTTGGATTTGGTTGCAATAACACTTCAGTTTGTTTCATTATTTTTTCTGTCCATATTTTGGTACATTCAGCTTTGCTAAGAAGGTTCTCTAAGTGAGCATCCAATTCTGTCTTCTCTGCCTGGCCAAGCTTTTCTTCTGTGAACTGTTAGTGATTATTTTAAAACAATATTAAATATATTGCAAATACATTTTAGCAACCTATAGTAATAATTAAAAACAAAACTCAAATCCAAACAATCCCAAACATACAATTATTTGTAAACCACTGCATGTAAATGTTACTGTTTTTGCTCCTACGATAATTTTGCCCTTATCTATACCTCTTTTGTAGCATTTATTATGATCCTATCTTATATTTAACACATATCCTCAGTTCTGCTAAAATATATGATGTGAATTCTACAGAAAATCGAACACACTGTCTGGTATATAAATATTTCTGACTTATAAAGGTAGCATAGCAGTAAGGAGTAAGAGCTTTGAGTCAGTTGGATATGAATTCATACCCTGACTGCAATGCTGTGTTATCTGAGCAAGCTTTTGAATATTTTTTCCTTAGGTACCCTCTATCATAAAGAAGAGTCAGTATATATCTTACAGTACTTTGAAAGTTAATTAAGAGTATGAATGTAAATCACATTGTTCAGTGTCTGGTCATTGTTATTGAATTTAAAAAGGGCTGTTTATGTTTAATGTGCCATTATATTATTGGCACTTTAATCACACCTAGTTAGATAGGCTTTTATGAGATGTTCTGAAAAACTATCATTCAAGTTGTTTCTTCAGGATACGTTCCAGCAATCGATGTATAGACTAATTTTTGGAATATATCCTATCCATACTATGGAGGCATCTTTTAAAGATCATAAAATGTAGTTAAATATACTCAGTGTACATTATCTTGTGTTGGTTTTTCAGGAAAAGCAGCATTGCACACACAGTAATAAAGAAGCAAAAAGATTTCCTTCCTTTTAGATTTTATGAAGACTTCTGGATATTTTTCATTAAATACTAGAAGTGATGACTCAGCCTGCTTATCATGCATATTTTTTTTTTCTAGAACATATGGCTTTTCCCACCATAACACAGGCATACTACTAGCACTAATTCTATGCTCATTAATCATGACTCATTTCTGGGTAACAAAATATAATGTTCACCTTGCTTTTCCTCCCCCCTCTCATTTCTTAAAATATCTTCTGCTCCACTTGCCTGTTTTATTATGTTTCTTCCAGCATCCTTGTTTTTGGTCTAATACTTTCAGTTGATTATAACTTAGCACTTTTAGCTGAAAGGTCCTCTAGAATGTTATTTTTAGGCTTTAAAACGCCCACCAAGGTCTTGTTCAGGTGCTAGAAATAACAGCTTTAATAGTTTTTGTAAAGTCTTAGGCCTTAGCCAAGCCCTGACCCAATGGGTGGGACTGAGAAAAGCAGTTCCAGAGGTATTGCCGCCCTAAGCCCATAAACTTGAGTGTATGGTAACTGAGGATAGGAGCGGCATTAGGCAAAAACCAAAACCCTTCTCCCAAGGTCAGCTGGGTAACTATGCAATCTCGATCTTAAGAGAGAACTCTAGTCTTTCAGATCCATGAGATGCTAAGCAACAGACCTACTGTAGAGATATAGATTAGAATTTTACATGTTAATTCACACAGGTTAACATTATCTACAAAGGATGATCCACCAGTAGATCATTGAGACAATAAACAAGTAATTAAATACTTTGATAAGGATACAAAGATAAAAGGAAGGTGGACAGAGGACCAACATAGGTGGTCCTATTATTTCTTGAGTGAGTTACTAAATGATTAACTGCTTGGATTAATGAATTCAAGTGTAGAGAACTGAAGAATTCATTCTGCAGGGAGAGGGAGGGCAGGAGAATCAGGTTTAAAAGGCAGAGGGATATGCAAGCTGGGCCTGGAAGAGGGAGCAGGAGTTTGAGGATTGCCAGATGTGAATGGTAAGAAAAATAGCCTCTCTGAACTGGTAACAACTGAGATGGGATGATAAAAAATGAGCTATGTAAAGACACAAGGAAGAGTATAGAGTCCTCTGATGATTTATCTTCCAGTTGCATTTCTGGAGGATCATTAGTGGCTCTAAATATTATTACTTTTTTTGGTAGAAGCCTTAATTTATACTTAAAACCCAAGACTAGATTAATACAACAATCAACAGATCCATAATTAAGAACCAGTATTTATTAAGTCAGTCTTTGTGCAAAGCACTCTGCTAAGAACTATTATAAGAGAGCTAAAGGAAAAATATTATCCAAACATTATAAGCCTGCAGGCCTATTTTTTTCAGTACATAAAATCATGGTAAACTTTATTATAGAGTTTTTTTAAAAAATATGCATCCAAGGATATTTTCCTACATATTTTTAGAGAGAGTGGAAGAGAGAGGAAAAGACACGAGAGAAATATTGATGTGAGAGAAACACATCTATTGGCTCCCTCACACACGCTGGGGCGGGGAGGAGCCTGCCACCAAGCAAGGTAAGTGCCCTTGACCAGAACCGAGTTCGGGACCCTTCTGTCCGCAGACTGATGCTCTATCCACGGAACCAAACCAGCTAGGGCCATATTGATGTTTTTTTTAGAAACACAATGGAATTAAACAAATGGGCTAGACATTACTAAATAATGTTTATAAATAGTGATTTAAGAAAGTCATTTAGTTTACCTGATACAAGTTAGGTTTCAGGGCAAGTTTTTCCCCAATATTTCAGAGAACCAACACTTACAAAGTTAATTATTTGAAAAACAAAACATTTCAATCTTCAGGTCAAAAGGCTTGTTTGCTTAATTATTTAATATTTTCTTTGTGATTCTCATAACACTACCTTACAGGTATCTTTAATTAAATATACTTTTTTTTTAAGTGTGAAAGTATACTAGAGCAAAGATGAGTATTTGCAACAAATCATGTATTTGTATGAGTATGAAACCTTGGGCAAACTATTAAATAGTCTGATCCTCAACTTCTTCATTACTGAAATATTTTTAAAAAATGTATTTTATTGATATTTTACAGAGAGGAAGGGAGAAGGACATAGAGTTAGAAACATCGATGAGAGAGAAACATCGATCCGCTGCCCCCTCACACTCCCCACTGGGGATGTGCCTGCAACCAAGGTACATGCCCTTGACCGGAATTGAACCTGGGACCCTTGAGCCCGCAGGCCGACGCTCTATCCGCTGAGCCAAACCGGTTAGGGCTCATTACTGAAATTATGATACGTACCTATATAATGATTTTTGGACAGTTTGATATAAAATGCATAGCTTAGTAAATGGCATTTTCTAACATATATCAAAACCCTGACACTATCAAAAATACAGAAGTATAAAAAGGGTCTAGTAAAGGATTTTATTGAGAAATAAAATCAACTGTAGTTTCTAATTACAACTATTATTAAAATTCTACAAAGTTAATAATTTTGGGTTGAAAGATATTGAAAACTAAAATTCTTAAGGGTAAAATTCAAAATTTTAGGTAATTAGGAAAGGAATCTTTTTTTTTTTTTTTTAAAGAATAGGTTTTTTTGTCCTTATGAAAAAGGTACGTTATAATTTTATGTTTACCTTTAGGCAATACTGTTAAGATCATGAAAGCCTTGAGGGCAAGAACCATGTCATATGTGATTATACATCTCACATAGAGAAGAAAATATATACTATATTCTCCATACATATTTTCATTAATCTAAACCTCTTTAATTTATTTGATATAACTCATTTTCTGCAGTAGATGCATTCTTAAAAATGTTTTAGACAAAAATGTATCTATTAATATTGTACTATTTTGTTATTTTAATATGTCATGCCTTCTGATTAACAATGGGAAAAATCCTTATGCCCCCATGATAAAATCATGGGAATGATCAAGCCTTCTACAATTGCACATTTAAGTAATAATAATTTATATTTATAATTTCAACTTAAATATGTAACATTAGCAATATGGTTATTTCTCCACTCTTTTTTTGTTTGTTCTATGTAGGATTAAGGTTACCTTTAATTGGATTATTGACTATCATGTAGGGAGCAGAGGGAGACTGTAGGATAGGAGTGCTGTGAACAAAGACACAGGGACAAGGAACCACAGAATATGTTTGGATAATGGTAATAGAAAGTATTAATTTAAAGTATTAATTTTTTTGACAGCAAGTACTTACTGTAAAGGACTGTCTCTGAGTCAGCCATATTTTGCCAGGCCCTGTAATCCTTCCTTCACTACAGGACAGGAATGTAGCCTACAGTATGACATAAAGAACCTGAATTCCCTACCCTGCTTTATCAGAAAGAAAAAAGAACCACAAGTAAAAAGGCTGTGTGATCCAAGACATCTATTTCATATAAAGTCTAACCATCAATTCTCTGGGTAAAGTAATATTTTAAAAGTAACAAAGTTCTTGAGGGGGGGAATGTATAATATTCTGAATATAATGTATTAGTAAACTATAAAGTAGATTCTTCTCAACTGGTACTCAATTTTGGATGCTCTTTGGAATTACTTGCGGGAATTTTCAAAAACACTGATGCTGAATCAAACCCCAAAGATTCTAATTTAATATGGACTAGGGTGCGGCTTGTAAAGATCCCTCAGTTAATTTTAAGTGCAGCTAAGACTGAGAACCACTGTTCTAAACTCATACATAATTATTCTAACATCAGGTTAAGAAACCATCTTCTATTTAGTAGTCTGTTAAGTTAATGCCAAATAGTACCAAAGGATGTGAACACAGTTTTGGGAAGCACTAAATACACAGTTTTTACATAATGAGTAAATGTATGGACTTTGAATGTCACATGTATTATATATTAGAATTTGAGAGACACGGTGAAGTTATTTGCAGTTTAAATTCTATGAAGGAAATGGAATTTCAGAAGGGCTTGAAAGTATTTGGCCAAGTTGGAATTCCATCCAAATAACACCTGATAGGAGCTAGTTGAGGGCTGCATCATACTCATCTTTATATCACCAGCTTAGACCCACCATTAATGCTTGGTAAATTAAGTGGGAGATTGAGATCAAGCTTGCAACTAAATTTTATAGACATTTTTCCCCCTCAGAAAATATCTGGCAGTCATGAAGTTCATAACGTAACTTCAGTAGTCAGTTCAAAGGAAATTAATATAAACCCTCTTCCTATGTAATTTAGTTTGAGAAAATTTTTTAGAAAGTATACACTCCCGTTTTAAAGAAAGTGAGCACAGTTTTGCTTCAATATCAATTCTGAATTTAAAATATGCACACTTGAAATATTTATTAAACCAAGTAAGAGAACAGTAATTCATAAAATAGGTATTTACTAAAAAGAGTAAAATATTTAATTATGACAAATTACGACTAGACTATGAAGTCCTTTGAGGGCAGCAACTAGGTCTTATTCAGCTTTGAATTCTTCAATGCCAAACATCCTAAGAGGTACTCAATAAATATAAGGTGAGTTGAAGTTGAAGTTTAGAATTAATCAACTTCAAGGTCAGCAGATACAATATTAGAAAAATACTAATGAAAATAACAAAATTATTTAACGTGCTAAATGATTCAAAGAGTAAACTTTACTTATGGTTACTGCCTTGCTTGGAGAAAATTTATAAAAAATTAAAAACCATGTTGGATGTTGTGAGAAGGGAATAAGAAAGAATTCTTTAAGACATACAATCTTATTAAAGATGTGAAAGCCACAGAATAACAGAATTTTAGAGCTCCAAGGGGCCTTACATAACAGTGCACGAGGAGAAAACTGCCACATACAGAATTGATAAATGACACAGGATTTCACACTAAGCACCTGTGGTCTTAGATGGACTTGCAGTTGTATCTTGAGAGCAAGAAAGATGACAAAGAGGCAGCAGGCATTCAAGATGAGTTTTACTTAAGAACAAAAGTCTAGAATTAGAAAAGTATAAGATATTTTTGAAATTAGAAAATAATTTGATAGGAATAATGTTTATATATGAGTAAGAGGAAATATAAAGCTGGGAGAGAGTATTTAATGCTCAACAAAGGAGTTTGGACTGAAGAGACAGATTCCATGAATTAATAAATGGTTTTTAAGACACTAATAAAGTAACAACTGATGGAAGATAAGTAACTTGATGCTCTTGTATTCTATAGTTTTGAGGGAGGTAAGAACAACAAAACCACCCAAATGGACTATTAAGGAATGGATACTCCTATTCATTCATACACTGAGTGGCCAGATTATTATGACCACCCCATCAGTACAACGAAGTGAATTAATTATGCAAATAATAATAATAAAACCTTGAGAGTATTTGCTTAGAAAGTTTTCAATATTCAGCATTTTTGAAAGTGTCAATGAAGTACTGATGGGGTGATCATAATAATCTGGCCACTCAGTGTATATTTTACCTTAACATACTTTTTTTAAAGTACTAAGGAACATACATTTTAGAAGGGTGAGAATGGAGTGATGAGACCCATTTATATGCTTTAATAGTTTGATTTTACTTTAAAAAAAATAGGGGGCAATTCAATTTTTAATTAAAAAAATTTTTTAAGTAAAATGAAAAAATGTATGGCAGTTGCTAACCAGAGAATGGCCTATTCCTTAAGGTATAAATGTGAACTTGAATTCCATTCCTATTGTTCTTATTACTTATAATGAGTAACTGGCATACATAACTCTTACTCTATTCTTAGCATGAAACTTGGCACTTTGGCACTATACTGATGTCAATTCAATTTAAAGTAGGAACTCAGTTACTGACTAAATACTGATAAGCAGTGTTTTGTTGAAAATTACCAGACAGCATCCCAAATTTCACATGTTACATTTTTGGAACCATCTTTTTTCCCTTATATATTTTATTTTTAAAAAGTATTATAGAAATGTCAAACATATACAAAAGCATAATAGTATAATGAAACCTCATGAACCCACAACCCAGCTTCAAACTATCAACATTCTGCCAATGTTGTTTTAACTGTTCCCATTTTTTCTTCTGAAATATTTTAAAGTAATTCTCAGACATGGTACAATTTATACAAATTTCAGAATATACCTCTAAAAGATACAGACTCAACATAAGGAGCCTGCTCCTCCTGAAATATTTCCTTTCTTAGTAAATGGTTCAAGTGTCAATGAGTCATCCTTGACTCATTTTTCTCTCATAGCGCAAAGCCAATCTAACAAGCAATACTGGATAGATTGTGAACTTCCCTGCTATCACTCTTATGTCACATCACCTTTTACTTTTTGCCTGCCCTATGTCCACAGCTCCCTAACTGGTCTCCCTAGTACCCCCTGAAACTTCAGTCTTTATACTTGTTCCCTATGACTGAAATGTTTTTCATTCAAAAAACTGGAAACTGTCACTTCTTGAGGCCTCTTTGAATTTGATCCTATTAGAAAGGCTTGCTTTAACCACCATGTCTACACAACAGGGCAACAACCATCACTTCTACCATTAATCTATCCCCACCGGCCTATTTCTCCATCACCACCTGATGTATTTATTTACTAGTTTGTCCTCTTCTGCTAGATTGTGAGCTCCAGGAGGGCAGATATTTTCTTGATTTTATTCATTACTGTATCACCAGTGTTCAAAATAGTAGCGAGAGGCAGTCATGGAGTATGCAGTTAAGTATTAAATACTGAAAATTATTTGATAGCTAACAGAGTAGAACAGAATTTGAAAATTCTTTCCTAAAGAATTTGAAACAATCAGTAATTTAGAATTCATTTGGAAAATAATACATCTTTTGAAGGCTTTGACAGCTATTCAAAATCTAGTCTATTGACAATTTATGTTCCTATATTTAAGCAGTGTGGATTATGTACCTGAAATATATCTAACTGTATTTTAAAGAGTGGCATTATATGGTGTCATAGCTGCATCCAGCATCTTCATAGGGGATTAGCACTGAAACAATACCAAAGTCTCGGCCTCTTTTGCCGTCAACATGAAGTCTTATGAATCAAAATTCAATTCAGACCTTCACTCACTACATTCTTCTTGCACCTAGTCTTTGAACTATGAGTACTAGGCTAATTTAAATTTAAAAAATTACTTTAACTATAAGGCTCAGTGTCTTTTCAATATACCTTGTATTTCAGCGGAGGAAGGCGAGAAGAGGGCTAAGGCAGCTTGCACCTTACCTACCATGCAGAGTCTGTAACTTGGGAATCAAGACCTAGCAGGAATTTCCCGTCTCTTCAGCGTTACTTGCCTAAGCGCTATGGAAACAAATGTCGGTAACTGCTCAGCGTGTCCTAGCTGATGTGTGAGCCCTTTCTGGGCGGTAACACTCCATGTGCCCTGAACCTGCAATGCGCATCCAAGAAGAGAGAGGCAGCTTGCAGTAAGCAGCAGGTCAGACAGCGCTCGCTATTTACTAGCCCTGCAGGTTAAGCAAGTCACTCACCTCCCTGAGGCCGCGGCCTCACATACAAAGGGGGTTAATAACACCTACCTGGCAAAGTTACAGAAAGGACTGGAGATAATCTGCCAAATGTCAAATGAAATGTTTGACATCGTTGTAGTTGTTGTTGTTGTTTTTTCTTTCATAATATAAGGCAGCTATTACCTCTAGTTCTACCATTCTTTCGCCAAGCACGGGGCAACGTGACAGCGACTGTGCCAGTAAAACTGGCATCAAGCAGCAAAGCCAGACCAACCGCTGTGCCTCTCGGTATCAATGCGGCATGCACCTCGGAGAGCTGTTTCTGTGTCCTCTTTCCAAAAGAGCACGCCGTTGTTACGGTGACATGGCCTTAGCTTAAACACCCGATTGTTGACAACCCATGTTGCGGTAAAATCTACATCTGTTCGCAGACTGAACCGAGTGGCCATCGTGTGGGTGACGCCGGCGGAAAGCCGTCCAAGTTCCCGAGGACCGACCCTTCCCTGACTGCGGAGTACCCGGCGCTGGTCGCCTTTCCCCCCTAAAGTGGCTGCAGGCCCCACGGGAGCCTCCCCCGCGCCACGCCCCGGGCCTGGGACTGTGCGGGAACCCCCGCGCTCCGGCCTTCCCGGGGCCGCGGCCAAGTCCGGGCGCCAACTGGCGACCTCCATTTCTCAGCCCAGGGCCGTCCTTCCCGGGAGGGAGAGGCGCTGGGGGGAACCGTGCCGGCGGCTCTCCGGGCAGAGGGGCAGGAAAAGGGCACTTCCTTCTCCTTCTCGGCGGGGAGGGTGCGAGGAAGGGACCGAAAGGGCGGCGGTGGCGTCAGCAGAGTCCGTCTCTCGGCTCACCCCGCGGGACTCGCCAGGCCTCCGCCCGGGGCCCCCGGAGGGAGGTCACACAGCACCCGCGTCGTGGGGGCCAGCCAGGCGGGCGGTGCTGTCGGAGCCGCCTCGGCTCGAGGCCGAACTCAAGGTGTCCTCCAGGGGCCCCGTCTCCACACCGCCTCCCTTCACCCCGGGGGCGGCGGCTGGGCAGGAGGGGGGCACGGGAGACGGCGGCCAGGCCCGCAGGAGCGCCAGGCCGCGCCCATCTCCCGGGCCTCGGGCCGGCGCAGGCAGGCCCTGTGGTCGGCGAGGCCGGGAGCGAGGGCCCCGGCGATCGGGCTGGATGCTCCCGCATCGCCCCCACCCGGTCCTCGGGGAGACGCCACCCCTCCCCCCACCGCCTACCTGCACCGCACGGCTGAGGAAAGTGCCCGCGTCGGCCGCGAACTTCTTGACGTTGAAGTCCATCATGTTCATCCTGCGCCGCAGCCGGGCGGAGCTGCCGGCTGACCTAGCGGGGAGGCGGAGGCGCCGCGGCCGGGCTGGGGCGCCGGGCGGGAGTGGCGCGGGCAGACGTGGTGAGTGGAGGGAGGCGGCGCCAGCCCCGCGGCCGCAGCTGTCGTTTCCGTCAAGGGCAGGGGGCGGGGGGAGGGAGGGTGGGGCGAGGGGAGAGGACGAGCGCCTCCCAGCGGCCCCCGCGTCCGGGCGCCGCAGCCGGGACGCCGGGCCTGTCCCTTCCGGAGCGCGGCCGCTAACGTCGGCGCTGGCCCCGGTGGGCGAGCCGGAAACGGATTGGCGTTCTGGCCTCCGGGTCAGGCTCCCCGGCGGAGGAAGCGGGCGGCGCCGCGGGGCGGAGCCTTTGTGGCGAGGTGATCTCGGGAACAGCGACCCCTTCAGGACCGTCGCGGCGCCGCCGCGGGGCGCGCCGGGAACTTGGCTCGCTCCGCCCGTGGGAAGGTCCGCGTCGCTGGGAGGAGCGCGCCGCGGAGTCGCAGCAGCGCGGCGCTATGTGGTTAGTCCCAGAGAACCAAGAGCAGACGACTCCGGCCCCTCTTTTTATTTGGAGGAAAAATATGGATGTTGGAAAATAGGATTGCAGTAGCTGTGTCATTAGAACCAGCAGCTCCCTGTCATCTTGTACCCGCGCCCGCAGGTCTCGGAAGTGGCAGAAGAGGGTTGAGTTAGTGTCCCGCCCAGCCGGTTTTCATTCATTCAGCATTATCGAATGTCTACCGTGTACCAGAGCTGAATCGGGTGCTGGAGATACTGTGCTTCAAAACACTGTCCTTGCCTTCAAGATGCTCTCGGTTCTTTAACTTGACCACCTTAGGGGACTTCACTCCCAGCAGAAGCTCTGTAACCATTTGCTGACGCAAGGACTTTGTGACTGCCTTACAGGGTCAACCCTAGGTGCCCACTGTGTGCGAAGTATGATGCCCAGGACACAGAGTGCCGAGCGGAGGTCACAAAGAAGTAGAAAATGGTGAGTGAGGTAGAATAATCCTTAAAGATTCAACGCGGCGAATTTTGATAACAAATGAGAATATGATGTGAAATCTGTTACACACACACACACACACACACACACACACACACACCATGATTCTGATTAATTTCTTAAGCAGTCTTTGTGATATAGCCTATGTTTGAACTAAGTTAAGACAGGTGCAAGCAAGGAGAGAGAGGGAGACCTTAGTATTTCAAGAAAACAGGGTGCGTTTTTTGTGTGGGCTGTGCCCTTTTGTTACATTAGGGCTGGGAAAACGCAGCCCTGCAGGCAATGGAATGAGCTCACATAACTCATTCAGTGTTTTACTATAACAGCAGTAAACAGAAGCAGTAGCTGTTGTTAAAGTCTGAAAGGTTAGCTCTAAAGGCATTTTAAGGAACAGCAGATAACATAGAGATTTGTTTGTGTTGGGTTATTCTTGGTGGTGGTGACAGACATAACCACTTTTTTTCTAAGATAACTCCAGTAAAATGAATCTCCTAGACCCCAAATACTACACATATCTTTAACTTTTCCAGAAATATAGAAAAGGAAATATATAATTAATGTTGTTTTTCATTTATTGTCCATATTTAGATTTTTAAGCACTTACTATCTTTGTAGATGTCTATCTTCACAATAAGTGTATTTGCTACAATCTATGTCTATTTCTACAGAAGGCTCACCACACCACATCCACTGTTACAGAAAAAAACTCTGGATCCCCTTCCTCAAAGGTGTAGATCTACCTAACTTGAAAAAAATCTTCACTTCTTCCTGTTGAGCCTTCTATAGCTATAATATTTGCTTCTGCATATGATCACATAATACAGTGTGACTAAGTGTATTAGTAGATTATATTATCTACCTAGTTTTAACTAAATAAATCTTCACAAAAATGGACAAGTTGCCTAAAGAGTTATCACCAAAGAAACATACAGTGATTGAACCTCAAGGTCATGGTTTGATTCCTGGTCAGGGCACATGCCCAGGTTGTAGGCTCATGCAGATGGTGCAGGAGGCAGTAAATCAATGATTCTCTCTCATCATTCATGTTTCTATCTCTCTCCATCTCCCTTCCTCTCTGAAATCAATATATATATATATATATATATATATATATATATATATATATATATATACACATATATATGTAAAAAAAGGTAATTACACAAGCACAAGCAAACCAGAAATGCCAGAGCTGATACTTCTAAATGTTGAATTTATCAGGAAGACATTGAAATATGAATTTTAAAGTGATTAAAACTCGGTTCCAGCTTTTAAGGAACTTAGAATCTAATGTGGGAAATAGACTTGTAAAGTAAAACATAGTATGAGAACTATAACTAGAAAAGCTTGTATAAGATTGGGCTGGAGTGATTTGTAGAGGAATTGGGTATTAACCAGCAGGGTAGGGGAGGTGATAATTAAGACTTTTTTGAACTGGCTTCTGACTGAATTCATCTGTCAGTGGGGAGAGATGATTAGACTTTAATTTAGAAAGATCACATTTTAGGCAGTGTGGATAATGGACTGTAGAGGGGCAAAGACAGGTAGAAAGACTGATTAGGAGTCTGTTGCTATTACTCACCATGTACTCTGCTATCTTGTTATCTTAAAACTGAAAGTATTTTTTTGACCAAAATTCCCTCTCATTGGACATCTGTTTCTCTTTTACTCACTTAGTATGTTCTTATCATCATCAAGGCCTGTAATCCCATGCCTCATTACTCTCCCTCCACTTTCCCCTCTTTTTTTTTTTTTTAACTCTCACCAGCACCCTCAGCTGCCTCTGTCCTTCTGACCCATCAATCTACATTCCCAGATGAATGTTTTCTCTGTTTCTGCTCTCGAACTCCCAGCATTGTTAGGGAAAATTGCACAGCCTTGTAGATGGATGCTACTTACCTACTAATGAATGATTGCCTACTTACACTAAACCTTTATAACTACCTAGAAAAGCTTTTACTTCTTTCTAATCAAATTCTTTTTATACTCTCTGCAGTGCCTTCTACAAAACTTTGACCCTTTCCTTAACATGCCTAGCTTATTCTCATATACTATTATTCTTAGCCATTGATACTTTTTCTTTACAAAGGAATGATAAATCATCAAGCTATTATTAGCCAAGAGCTCCTTTAACCAAACTCTTTTCTTTCCACCTCTTGTCCTTCTCCACACTATTGCCAAATGTTTCAGACGAAAGGTGTCCCAGGTGTTTTCTTCTGAGTTGAGCAAGATACTGCTCTTTTAATCTTGGCTGCATGTGGGAATCACCTGGAGAGTTTAAGCAACCACTTATGCCTGGATTCCACTTTCAGAGTGTGGACTGGGTATTGGGATGTTTAGAAGTTCCCCCAGGTGATGCTAAAATGTGGCCAAGATTGGTAATGAACCCATCATCCTCTGAGTACATACTTGTTCCACCAGTCTCTACCCTTTGCCTACAGATAGATTCCTTTTCTCTTACTGGATTGAGTTGCTCAACGGCAGTGACCATTTCTTATTCATTTTTATAATTTAATGGTCTACTGGCAACTTTAGAGAACTCTCAGTTAATTTTTTCAATGAATAAAATAATCAAATCAAGATGTATACTGTTCATTTGTAACCCCTCCTCCCCAACCCAACTTTCCAGCTATAGATTCAGTATTGCCAGTACTGAGCCTCTTGTAGTTTGTTTTTACTGAAAGTTATTTTTTTCTGGTTTCCTATAATGGCAAATTGAATTATATACACCAAGTCTCCTAAGCTAGAAATCTGAGTCTCCTTTGATGATTTCCTCTTATTTCCCATGTCTGATTGATCAAATCTTTGGAATTTTTTTCTCTGAACTCTTTCTCCTCTTCTCCTCTTTTTTACTTTTAAATTGAGGTGTAATTGACATGTAACATTATATTAGTTTCAAATGTACAACATAATGAGTCATTATTTGTATACATTGTCAAATGAGCACCACAATAAGTCTAGTTAACATCCCTTACCTTACATAGTTACAGAAATAATTTCTCTTGTGATGAGAACTTTTAAGATTTACTTTCTTTGCAACTTCCAAATATGCAATATAGTATTATTTACTATGGTCACAATGATATACATTATATTCCTATGACTTTTAAAAAAATACATGGATAGAGAGAAACCCAGAACTTCCAAAAGAAGGCCCAAGGCCCACAGCAGCTTGCATTGCTTCACAGCTGGGCTCCTGCTAGGTAGCCTCAGGCAGAGGCTAAATTACCACCTCCTTAGAGATCCAAGAGCCAGTGTACCCAGTGGTCAGAGTGGGACCATGCAGATTACAACTCCTCAGATCCATAAGGGACACACTCAGGGGGCAGACTCAGTGAGCACCAAAGCCCCACTGAAGCAAGTCTTGCCCCAGAAGGGTGTCTCCAGCACAGAAGTTCTCCCACTGCAGACACAGCTGATTCTCACAGCCAGTTGGCATGGAGGTCAATTCCTCCCAGTGATACCTACAACAATCAAGGCTTAACTACAACAAGACTGTGCAAAAAGCCCACAAGGGGGTACACCAAGAGTGTCCACCTCAGGTAATTGGGGAGGCTGAGCCACTGGGCACCTAGCACAGAAAACCACTCTATCAACACAGGAAAGCATAAAAAATGCGGAGACAAAGGAACAGGTCACAAATGACAGAAATGGAGGAAAGCAAACTACTGGATATAGAGTTCAAAACCACACTTTTAAGGTTTTTCAAAAATTCTCTAGAAACTGCCGATAAACTTAGTGAGACCCTCAAGAAATCTAGTTAGACCCTCGAGGTTATGAAAAAGGACCAACTAGAAATTAAGCATACACTGACTGAAATAAAGAATATTATACAGAGTTCCAACAGCAGACTAGAAGATAGCAAGAATCAACTCAAAGATTTGAAATACGAAGAAGCAAAAAACACCCAACCGGAAAAACAAAAAGAAAAAAGAATCCAAAAATATGAAGATAGTGTAAGGAGCCTCTAGGACAACTTCAAATGTACCAACATCTGAATTATGGGGGTGCCAAAAAAAGAGAGAGAGCAAGATATTGAAAACCTATTTGAAGAAATAATAACAGAAAACTTCCCCTACCTGGTGAAAGAAATAGACTTACAAGTCCAGGAAGCGCAGAGAACCCCAAACAAAAGGAATCCAAAGAGGACCACACCAAGACACATCATAATTAAAATGCCAAGAGCAAAAGACAAAGAGAGAATCTTAAAAGCAGCAAGAGAAAACCAGTCAGTTACCTACAAGGGAGTACCCATATGACTGTCAGCTGATTTCTCAACAGAAACTATGCAGGCCAGAGGGAGTGGCAAGAAATATTCAAAGTGGTGAATACCAAGAACCTACAACCAAGATTACTTCACCCAGGAAAGCTATCATTCAGAATTGAAGGTCAGATAAAGAGCTTACAGATAAGAAAAAGCTAAAGGAGTTCATCACCACCAAACCAGTATTATATGAAATGCTGAAAGGTATTCTTTAAGAAGAGGAAGAAGAAGAAAAAGGTAAAGATACAAATTATGAACAACAAATACACATCTATCAACAAGTGAATCTAAAAATCAAGTGAATAAAATCTGATGAACAGAATAAATTGGTGAATATAATAGAATCAGGGGCATGGAAAGGGAGTGAACTGACTGTTCTTGGGGGGAAAGGAGTGTGGGGGTGCGGGAAGAGACTGGACAAAAATCGTACACCTATGGATGAGGACAGTGGGGGAGGGGGTAAGGGCAGAGGGTGGGGTGGGAACAGGGTGGAAGGGAGCTACGGGGAGAAAAAAGAGGAACAAAAAAAAAATACATGGATGTTTGTGCTTTTTGACCCCCTTCACCCATTTCTTCTGTCCTACATCCCACTCCCACCTCTGGCAACCATCAATCAGCTCTCTGTATCTATGAATTTCGCTTTTTTGTTTTTCATTTTTATTTATTTATTTAAAAATATATATATATATTTTATTAATTTGAGAGAGGAAGGGGGAGGGAGAGAGATAGAAACATCAATGAAGAGAGAATCATTGATCAGCTGCCTCCTGCATACCCCACACTGGGGATCGAGCCCAGAACTCGGGCATGTGTCTTTGACTGGAATTGAATCTGGGACCCTTCAGTCCGCAGACTGATGTGCCATCCACTGAGCTAAACCAGCTAGGACTTGTTTTGTTTTTAGATTCTACATATAAATGATATCATACAGTGTTTGTCGCTCTCTGCTGGTTTGTTTCATTTAGGATAATGTCCTCAAGGTCCCTGTTGTCTCAAATGGCAAGATTTCATTCTTTTTATGGCTGAGTAATATTCGTGTGTGTGTGTGTGTGTGTGTGTGTGTGTGTGTGTGTGTGTCACATTTTCTTTATTCATCCATCAATGAATTCTTTGGTTGTTTCCATATCATGATTGTTACAAATAATGCACAATCAACATGGGGGTGTATATATCTTTTTTAATTAATATTTTAGTTTCCTGGGTAAGGATCCACAATGGAATTACTGGGTCATATGGTAGTTCCATTTTGAATTTTTTTTTTTTAATCTTAGAGGAAGGGAGGGAAAGAGAGAGAAACATTGATTGGTTGTCTCCCATACACACCCTGACTGAGATAGAATCTGCAACCTGCGTATGTGCCCTTATGTGCAATTGAACCTGCCACCTTTCGGTGCACGAGACGATGCTCCAACCAACTAAGCCACACTGACGATGGTTCCGTTTTGAATTTTTAAAGGAACCTTTATACTGTTTTCTATAGTGGCTATACCAGTTTATAGTGCCACCAGCAATGTACAAAGTTTCCTTCCCTTTTCTCCACATCATAGCCACCACTTGTTAATTTTTGTCTTTTTAATAACAGCCATTCTAATAGGTGTGAAGGATATCTCACTGTGGTTTTGATTTTTATTTCCCTCATTATTAGTGATATTGGACATCTTTTCCTCTACATTTGGCCATCTGTATGTCTTCTTTGGAAAAAATGTCTATTTAGATTTTTGCCCAATTTTAAAAATCGGATTTTGTTTTTTTTGCTGCTGAGTTGTACAAGTTCTTTATATATTTTTGATATTTATCCCTTATGAGATACATGACTTGCATATATTTTCTCACATTCAGTAGGTTATCTTCTCATTTTGTTGATGATTACTTTGTGGTGCAGAAGTTTTTTAGTTTGATGTAGTCCCACTTGTTTATTTTTGTTTTTTGCTTTTTGATTAAAAAAACATGGCCAAGATTTATGCCAAGGATTTACCACCTATGTTTTCTTCTAGGCATTTTATGGTTTGAGGTCTTATATTTAAGTTTTTAATTCATTTTGACCTAATGTTTGTGTATGGTGTAAGATGGTAGTTCAGGTTCATTATTTTGCATGTGGCTGTCTAGTTATCTCAGGGCCATTTATTGAAGAAACTTTCCCCATTATATATTCTTCACTCCTTTGTCATAAGTAAATTGACCATATATACGTGGATTTTTTTCTTGACTTTCAACTATGTTCCATTGCTGTATGTATCGGTTTTTATGCCTAAACCATTCTGTATTACAATGTATTACAATAGCTTTATAATGTAGTTTGAAATCAGGGAGTGTCATGCATCCAGCTTTGTTCTTCCTTCTCAAGATTGCTTTGGTTATTCAGATAAATTTTAGGGTTATTTGTTATATTTCTGTGACAAATGCCATTGGAATTTTGATAGGGATTACATTGAATCTGTGCATTGATTTTGGTAGTATGGACATTTTAACAATATTGATTCTTTTAATCCATGAGTATGGGATATCCTTCTATTTATTTGTGTCTTCTTCAGCTTCTTTCATTAATGTTTTATAGTTTTCTTTATACAGGTCTTTCTCCTTGGTTAAATTTATTCCTATATATTTTATTCCTTTGGGGATAATTAAAAATTGAATTGTTTTCTTCATTTCTCTTTCTGATAGTTTGTTATCAGTGTATAGACATGTAGCAGATTTTTAAAACATTAATTTTGTATCCTGCAACTTTGATGAATTTTTAAATTGGTTCTAACCTTCTTTTCAGTGGAGTCTTTAAGGTATTTTATATATGGTATCATGACTTCTGCAAATAATTACAGTTTCATGTTTTCCTTTCCAATTTGGATTTTTAAAATTTATTCTTCTTGCCTAATTGCTGTGACTAGGACTTTCAACATCATGTCAAATAAAAGTGGCAAGAGTGAACATCCGTGCCTTGTTCCCGATCTTGGAGGAAAATCTTTCAGCTTTTCACCATTGAGGATGATGTCATTTTTGAGCTTGTCATATATAGTCTTTATTATATTGAAGTATATTCCCTCCATACCTCTTTTTAATCAAAATACTACTTTATTAAATGAGTTATTTTACACAATATGAACATCAATATAATTACAATTGTAAAAAATTTTTTATAACAAGGATGGACTGATTTTCAGATTTCCAAATTAGAGTCAACTGTACATTTTACACAGAATTGTCTTTGCATGAAGCCCAAAAGGGAACAGCATGAAAATGAGTGTTTCTGTAGCCCCTTTATTTTTGCTGATCAACAGTTTGTTAGAAAAGCAGCTGCAGGTTTGTTACCTAAGGTCTGAGACAGTAGAAGAGTCAAAGGTGTCATGAATTCACCTGTAAACAACTTTATGCCTGGACAACAGCCAATTCTGGAGGAAGTGGAGTCTTAGGATGCTTGCTCTCAAAGTGCTGCTTGAAGGTGTTAGGGTCTTGCATTTGTGGCCTACAGACAGTGCAGGTATAGATTAAGGCAGCTTTGGCAGCAGCCTTTTGGTCATGTCCTTGTTTCTTCTTTTGTCCGGCTTGCTTTTTGGCATTTTTCTGCTGAGACTGAATCTTCTGCTGTCCACGAGCCATATCTTCTGGCAGCGGGCTTCTTCCCGCCCAGCACGCGCGCAGGCCTCCGGTTGCGCTGGCCCTCCCCCCCAATACCTTTTTTATTGAAAGTTTTTTTTTTTTTTTTTTTTTTTTTTATCACACATGAGCCGAAACCGGTTTGGCTCAGTGGATAGAGCGTTGGCCTGCGGACTGAAGGGTCCCAAGTTCGATACCGCACATCCCCAGTGGGGGATGTGCAGGAGGCGGCTGATCGATGTTTCTGACTCTCTATCTCTCTCTCCCTTCCTCTCTGTAAAAAAATCAATAAAATATATTTAAAAATAAATAAATAAATGAGTGTTGAATTTTAGCAATTTTTTCTGCATATATTGAGATGATCATATGATTTTTATATTTTGTTTTATTAATATGATGTGTTCTGTTGATTGATTTGTGTTGTTGAACCTTTCTTCCATCTTTGTAATAAACCTCCTGGTTCATGGGTCAATGCCCCATTTTGTTTTTTTTGTGTGTGTTTTTAAAAAATATATATATTTTATTGATTTTTTACAGAGAGGAAGGGAGAGGGACAGAGAGTCAGAAACATCGATGAGAGAGAAACATCGACCAGCTGCCTCCTGCACACCTCCCACTGGGGATGTGCCCGCAACCAAGGTACATGCCCCTGACCGGAATCGAACCCGGGACCCTTCAGTCTGCAGGCAGACGCTCTATCCACTGAGCCAAACCGGTTTGGCCCCCATTTTGTTTTTGATGTTACATTTTGTATCTATTTATCTTGTGTATCTTTTAACTATTAATTATTGTAGTTATTTTTTACTACCTTTGTCTTTTAACATTCATATTGGCTTTATATATGATTAATTCACTACCTTTATACATTTGCTTTTGCAGTCAAATTTATTCTTTTATACATTTTCTTGTTACTAATTGGCACCCTTTATTTTCAGCTTAAAGAAGTCTCTTTAACATTTCATGTAAGGCTGGTTTACTGATGATAATCTCCTTTAACTATTGCTTGTCTGAAAAAACAATTGATCTCTTTAATTTTGAACGACAATTTTGCCTGGTATAGAATTCTTAGTTGGAAATACTTATTTTCCAGCACTTTGATATATCATTTCATGCCCTTCTAGCCTGTAAAGTTTCTGCTGAAAAATTTGTTGCTAAGCTCATTGGGGTTTTCTGTATGTAACAAGTTATACTTTTCTTACTGTTTTTAAGATTCTTTCCTTGTCTTTAACTTTTGAAATTGTGATTATATGTGCCTTGGTGTGGATCTCTTTGGGTTCTTCATTTTGGAACTCTCTGGGCTTTTTGAATTTGGATGTCTGTTTCCTTCTCCAAATTAGGAAAGTTTTTAGCCATTATTTTTCAAATAATTTTTTTGAGGTTTGTCTTATTCTTTTGTTTGGAACATATTCCTTTGTTTCTTCATTTTGTTTGACTCTGTGCTGGTTTATATGCTTTAGATGAAACACTCACTTCTTCCACTCTTAAAGGGTTGCCCTTGTGTAGCAGATGCAGCTCAGTGTTCAGTCCTGCCTTAACTCTTTGTTGTCTCTCAAACCTTTGTAATTTTCCAAGCAACCTTTTATTTTAAAAAATATATTTTGTTGATTTTTTACAGAGAGGAAGGGAGAGAGATAAAGAGTTAGAAACATCAATCAGCTGCCTCCTGCACACTCCCTACTGGAGATGTGCCTGCAACCAAGGTACATGTCCTTGACTGGAATCGAACCTGGGACCTTTCAGTCCGCAGGCCGACGCTCTATCCACTGAGCCAAACCGGTTAAGGCCAAGCAACCTTTTTTTATTTAGTAGTTGAGGGTGTGTCAAGACTTTTTAGTGTCCCAAAGGGGAAGATCTCAGTCGGCAGATTGAAGCTGATTGGAAACTAGACACTCAGGCAGTATATCTTTATCTTTATCTTTATCTTTATCTTTATCTTTATCTTTATCTTTATCTTTATCTTTATATCTTTATCCTTATAGTCCCATGGGACTGTAAGCAGAAGTCCCACTGGCCACCAGAGCCAGGTGATATGGAGGTGTCCCCTGGGTGGTAGTCATAGAAATAGGGGCTTCAGACAAGTGTATAAGCTCTTTTCTTGGAGATACCAGTGAACTGTACTGAGGCAGAGGGAAAGTGCAAAGGTGGTGTCCATTGGCCTGTTCCCTGAGAGTAGCTCTTAAAGCCTCAGTGTGTGCCAATCCTGAAGCCTTCCCCTTAGACTGAAGCTCCAGGACAAGCAAGTAGACCTGTCTCATAGAAATATTGGGGATGTGTTTCAGTCTCTTGTCTTTGCAGTGCCCTGGGGGTAGAAGCCTGCCCAGAACCTTCTCTCCGATTATTATATAGTCCCATGGAATTCAGGAATACAAGGCCCCTTGGCCACCAGAACCAGGTTGTCAAGGGGTGTCCCCTGGGTGGTAGTGTAGAAACTAGAGCACCAGACATAAAACTCACAGCACCAGACACGCCTAAGTGTTCCCCTCCAGGAGATACTGGTGCTCTAAAGCATGACAGAGAGAGAGGTCAGAGATAGTATTTGCTCTCTGAGGTCTATGGAAAGGATTATAGTCAGTCCTCAGATTTGTGTTTCATTGTAAGCCTATCTCTCAGGGTACATCAATGATGATTAGCTAATAGGCTCTTTCATAGAGATTTTGGGTCTGTTACCTCTTGCTATGGCCTGAGGGTGGTGGCTGATTAAGAACTCTTTTTCCATTGGTTATAGTCCTATGGAATCTATGAGCATAAGCCCTACTGGCCACCAGGACTAGACCATGTAGAAGTGTCTCCTGATAGCAATAGCAAAAATCAGAACATCAGATAAAGGTATAAGCTTTTTACTCCACGATGCTGGCAAGCTGGAGTGAGGCAGAAGGAGAGTACAAAGATGGCACCCCTTGGCCTCTGTTCCCTAAGAGCACTTCCTTAACGCTTTACATATGTGTCAAACCAGAAGCCTGACCCTCAAGTCAAAGCTCCTGCACCAGCAAATAGTCCTATTTCATAGAAAGAATGGGGGTGAGGGTGGTGTTTCAGTGTGTTGTTTGTGCAATATCTAGGAGTGGTAGCTTGTCAGGAATGGTCTCTCTGATTAGTTATAGTCCTATGGGACCCAGGAATGCAAGCCCCCCTTGGTCTTCAGAGCTAGGAAATGAAGGGGCATTATGTGTGATAGCTACACAAATCAGGGTACCAGAGATGTTTAAAAACCCCCTTCAGGAAAGTACTGTCATCTGGAGTGCAGCAGAGGGACAGCACAAAGAAGGTGCCAACTAGTTGGCTGTAGTAAGGCCAAGGGGCAGTGTAAAGATGGCACTTGCTAGAAAAAGAAAAAAAGAGGTTGTACCACCTGGCTAGAGAAAGGCAGAGCAAGAGCCCAAAGATGGCAACCGCTGGCTAGAATGAGGCAGAGGAAGCGCATAAGATGGGACCCACAGGAAAAAAAGAAAGATGGAGCCCTCAGCCTAAACAAGGCAGAGCAAGAACACAGAGATAGTGCCCACCAGCCTCTGTCCCTGGAGAGTGTTCCAGCAGTCTCTTAGATGTGTATGTGATCAATTAGATGCCAATCCCTCAGGCCAATACTTTAATATAAGCAGCGAGCCTCTATCATTGAAAGTCAGAGCACTGTTGGCTGCCAGTGGGCTGGGTCCTGGAATGGGTGAGTCCTAGCAAACAAGCCCTTTATGAGCCATTTCTCTGACCACTATAGACTTGTGAATATCATGGATGTGAGCCCTATTGATTTTCAAAGCTAGATGTTTTGGGGGCTTACCTCTCAGGTATGGTTATTAAAAGCTGAGGTGGCCTGGCTGGCGTGGCTCAATGACTGAGCATCAACCTATGAACTAGGAGGTCATGGTTTCATCCCAGTCAGGGCACATGCCTGGGTTGTGGGTTCGATCCCTGGTGTGGGGTGTGTAGGAGGCAGCTGATCAATGATTCTCTGTCATCATTGATGTTTCTATCTCTCTTTCCTTCTCCCTTCCTCTCTGAAATAATAATAATAATAAAAAGCTGAGGTGTCTGATGTTCAACTCTTTGTTTCTCAGGATTTGAGTTCCCTCTAGATTGTGAGTTGCCGTGCTGGAGGTGGGGTTTATGATGATATTGTGGCCCAGCTTCCCTTACCCATTTCTATGTGGTTTTCTTTTTATTTGCTTGATCTGTAGTCATTGTTCAGCCAGCAACGTTTTTCTTTTTTTCAAGAGGAAGTTGTTCCATATGTAGCTGTAAACTTGGTGTTTTTATGGGAGGAGGTGAGTTAAGAATCTTCCTAAGTCGCCATCTTGAACAGGAACCCATCCTCTTCTTTTTAAAAACAATTTTTATATTGATACAATTTTAAACTAACAAAACTTTTGCAGGAATAGTACAAAACTTATGTACATGTTTGCCCAGAAACCTCATTCAAGTTTTGCTGATTATTCTAATAATGTCTTTATAGCAAAAGCATGCAAGCCAAGATCAGGTGTTAAATCCAGTTCTTATGATGCTCAATTTTCCTTAAATCAGAATCAGTTCTTCAGTCTTTTTATTTTTAATTGATAATTAGAGAGAAAGGGAGATGGAGAAAGAGAGAGAAACATGAATATGCCAGTGAAACATCCATTGGCTGCCTTCTATACACCCCCTACCTGGGATATATTCATGCAACTCAGATATGTTCCCTGACCTGGAAATCAACCAGCAGCCAACTAACTGAGCCACAATGGCTGGGGCAGTCCTTCACTCTGTTTTTGAAACTTGATCTCTTTCTCTCTCTCTCTCTTTTTTTCTGAGAGTTAACTGCTGTTCTTAAATTGATATGAACAATTTCTATTACGTTTTTATACTTTTACTGATTATATATATTTATAAATGATACTATTTTTATATTTTTAAACTATATAAGTGGTATGATATAGATGTATCCTTTTTCAATCAGGACCAATGTCTAATTCTTTTGTTTGTTTTGTCTCTTGATCCCCATTGTTTTTGGATTGTTTCCATTTTGGTCTTGTAGCTTTTTA